TCTTCTTCTTCTTTTACCTCACAGGGTGTCTGTTGTGGGGAGGGGAAGGGAAAGGAGATTGTAAGCCGCTCTGAGACACCTTTGGGTAGTGAAGGGCAGGGTAGAAATCCAATCTCCTCTTCTTCTTCTTTTACCTCACAGGGTGTCTGTTGAGGGGAAGGGAAGGGGAAGGAGTTTGTCAGCCGCTCTGAGACACCTTTGGGCAGTGAAGGGTGGGGTATAAATCCAATCTCTTCTTCTTCTTCTTTTACCTCACAGGGTGTCTGTTGTGGGGAGAGGAAAGGAAAGGAGTTTGTAAGCCGCTCTGAGACACCTTTGGGTAGTGAAGGGCGGGGTATAAATCCAATCTCTTCTCTTCTTCTCTTCTCCCCTCCTGAGCCCAGATTCAGCCCCGGAAGGGCCAAGTGCAAGGCTGCATTGCACCTCTTTGGAGGCAGGCTGTGCGCGACCCCATCTCTCTTCCCCCAGTCACCTGACGCTGCATGTCAAGAACCTGCCAGGTTAAATCACCGAGCAGGTCTCCTCTTGCGCTTCCGTGCCTTTCAGTGAGGCTCGCGTGAGAGACCTTCTGGGGTGGATTGTGCTCCAGGCTCGTTACCGGTGATGGAAGAAGACAGGAAAGGGGTAGGGAGAAGAGATGCCAACATCTCCTGGAGCCATGTCCTTCTCTTCTGCACCCAGCCAAGAAAATACACGCGAAGCAGCTTGCAACTGAGTCAGACCACCAGTCCATCAAGGATGGGGTTGCCTACTCTGACTGGCAGCCGCTCTCCAGGGTCTCAGGCCGAGGTCTTTCGTGTTAGCAACTACCTGATCTTTTTTGCTGGACTGGGGACTGAACCCAGGATCTTCTGCCAGCAGTTTGGTGTAGTAGTTAAGAGCGCGGACTCTAATCTGGGAGGACTGGGTTTGATTCCCCGCTCCTCCGCTCGCAGCTGCTGGCGTGACCTTGGGTCAGTCACAAGTTCTTTCAGAGCTGTTCTCTCAAGGGCAGTCCTCGAAAGAGCTCTCTCAGCCCACTGACCTCACGGGATGTCTGTTGTGGGGAGGGGAAGGGAAAGGAGTTTGTAAGCTGCTCTGAGACTCCTTTGGGTAGTGAAGGGCGGGGTATAAATCCAATCTCTTCTTCTTCTTTTACCTCACAGGGTGTCTGTTGTGGGGAGGGGAAGGGAAAGGAGTTTGTAAGCCGCTCTGAGACTCCGAGGGAAGGGCGAGGTATAAATCCAATCTCTTCTTCTTCTTCTGAGCCATGGATCGACTTCCAAGGAGATGAGTCCCTCCCTCAAAACATCTGGCTGTGGGAGGAATGAAGAGTACGAACCCCCTGCCCTCTCAATCTCTGTCTTTGTCACACACATACGAAATAGCAGCAGGTCCTACAGAGCCCGCCAAGGCAAGCTGTGCCGTAGGGAGAGAACTTGGAACATTCTGGCTTCTGGCTGAAATAAGATTTCTATCAGCCTGGCCATGTCTGCCTACAGGGAGGTGTCTGCTACCTCATTTCTCAGTTTGCTTTGCCGCCAACATCCTCCTCCACTGGGGCTGGTACACAGATTTGCTCTTATGTTTGCATTGGGCATGACTGGAATGTTCAGTTGCACCTGAGGCACAGAGAATCACTTGTCCTTGCGAGGTTGTCTGTTGCATCTCCGCATGAGTCGCTGTGTTGGGCTTACTGGCTTCGAGAGCCAGTTTCGTGTAGTGGTTAAGTGCGCGGACTCTAATCTGGGAGAACCAGGTTTGATTCCACTCCTCCACTCACTCGCACCTGCTGGATGACCTTGGGCAAGCCATAGTTCTGACAAGAGCTGTCCTTGAAAGGGCAGTTCTCGAAAGAGCTCTCTCAGCCCCACCTACCTCACAGGGTGTCTGTTGTGGGGAGGGGAAGGGAAAGGAGTTTGTAAGACACTCTGAGACTCCGAGTGAAGGGTGGGGTATAAATCCAGTCTCCTCTTCTTCTTCCGGTTTGGGAGACTTGCACAAATACACAAAAAGTGAGTGACTCTGGGCCCCTAGACCAGAGGTGTCAAACATGTGGCCCGGGGGCCGGAACTGGCCCTTCCAGGGCTCTTATCCGGCTGGTGAGCAACTAGTGTGACAGAGGGAAGGCAGGAGGCTGCTTGGGGGGAGCAGACACATAGGCACACATGGTGAGGTGTGTGTGGTCAAAGCTGTCAAGAAATGAAAGGAAATGGCTAGGGGGCAGGTATAGTATCCTTTGGAAAAAACCTAGTTTTTTATTTAAGAAAAATTAAATACATTCATTGGGATTTTTGAGGATTCCTCGGTAAATCAATTACTTCAACTCCTAGGAATCAATTGCTTTTGTTTGTATTTTGGGTAAAAAATAATATCGTTAATTGGTTTTGCCTGTGTCATTTATAAAGTTTATATCTCTGGTACCTGGCATTTCATTTTACGGCAGACATGGCCCAGCCCAACAAAATATCTTTCATGTCAGATCCGGCCCTCGTAACAAACGAGTTTGACACCCCTACTGTAGACTTTCCTCTTATGTGCGAGCGTGAAGTCTGCCGTACTTTTCAAAAATTAATTCACCTATCAGGCATTTTGTGGGAACGCAGAATTGAGAGTTCTCTCTTACGGTTCCTGTTTTGTTTTACTTCCTGGGAGAAACGCCTCAGACTCCTGTTTTGGAGGACTGAAACCAGGGGTGGACTGGGATGCGACCGATCGAAGCTTGGAAGGCAAGAGTTGAAGAGGCAGAAGGTACCCTGGGGGCTATCCAATCCAGTTCCTTTCTGACCACGAAAGTCCATTTTTATAGGACTCAGAAGACCACGGAGTGCTCTTGACAAGCAGCCATTCTGCAAGAGAGACCGAGGCCCCTCCTGCCATAGAGTGGCCCGAACACCACGAGAAAGGAGTTATAATGTGAGGTCCTGGGAGCGAATAGCTGGACAGCGGAGCGTGGAAACGAAAGGGCCGTCGAGTGGCAGCTGACTTGTGGCAACTCCTTAGGGTTCTGAAAGCAAGAGGTGAACGGGGTGGTTTGCCCTTGCCTGCCTCTGCGCAGCAACCCTGGACTTCCTTGGGGGGGGGTCTCCCATCCAAGTGCTAACCAAGGACCACCCTGCTTAGCTTCCGAGATCTGATGAGATCGGGCTAGCCTGGGCCAGCCAGGACAGGACTCAGAGGGGTATGCTTGTTCATAAATAAAGACATGGATACATTAAACAAAGGAGAGGGACTGTGAACTGACTACAGAAGGTCAAAGGAGAGATATTGTCAGAGGAACTGAAGCATACTGTGAAGTGGGGAAAGGCAACTCTCGACTCGGCCACAGTCTAGTCTGCGGCAACTCAGCAGTTTGACCCCGGGGTTCAAATTCCTCTCCCACCAGCAAGCGGGGCCTGTTGCCTTCCGTCCACTCTGTAAGAGTGGTTGAGCAGTGGAACGGACGGCCTCGGGAGGTGGTGGATGCTCCTTCACTGGACGTTTTCAAGCAAAGGCTGGAAGACCATCTTTCGGGTATGTTGTAGGGCTATCTTTCGGCTATGTTCCTTCAGAGTGCAGGGGGTTGGACTAGATGACCTTGCATGGTCCCTTCCAACTCTTAACGTTCTATGATTCTATCTCCAAAAGCATTTTTATAGGACTCAGAATTTCTAGCCTCCTTTCTCTGTGGCTGAAATGAAAGTGGGAGGAAGGGAATAGTCCTCTCCCCCATACCCATCAGATCATATGCGTAATCGTCTTTACCTGCAGTCAGTTCCATGTTCCCTCTAAGCTGTGGAGTCTTGTGAGCAAAAATTCTACTTTGTGAGCTACAGGCCTTAAAGTTGTGAGCGAGCGATTTGGTGACTGCATAAATCAGTTTGCTCTGGAGCCGGCCTTCCTGAGCTAAGACAAAAATCTGTGAGCTGGAGGCTAAAAAACTGTGAGCTAGCTCACACTAACTCAGCTTAGAGGGAACACTGGTTCCAAACGGGAGGCATCACAAACATGGACCGGCAGCCATTTGAACCCGGGCCCCAACTCAAGCACAAACTCCCCCATGGGATCCATGAACCCTCCACTGGCCACGTCTGAGATTTTCTGTATGCTGTTTTCACTTGCCCTGTGCATCGGTCTGACTCTGTCCTGCTCCCTGTCTCTCTCCTTCTCCAGAGGGTGGCTGCGGTACCGCTCATATGAATGATCTCAGGTCAAGTTGCAGCCTGCGTGAGAAGACCTGCGGGGTTAGACGACACGACTCGATAGTCAATCCGCCTCAGTTTCTGGATTCGAAAGAGGTAGCTGACCTTTGGGAGGAAGAAGTAGTAGTAGTAGTAGTAGAAATAGTAGAAGTAGAATAAGAATTAGAAGTAGTAGTAGAAGAAGAGGTAAAAGAAGGAGAATAAGAATTAGAAGTAGTAGAAGAAGAAAGAGGTAGAAGAAGAAGAAGAAGATTTAGAGTAGGAGTAGAAGAGGTAAAAGAAGAAGTAGAAGAGGGGGAGACTTTCCCTTCCCCTCCCCACAACAGACACCCTGTGAGCAATGCTCCCTCTAAGCTGTGGAGTCTGGTGAGCAAAAATTCTACTTTGTGAGCTGCTGGCATGAAAGTTGTGAGCGAGCAACTTGGCTACTGCATAAATTAGTTTGCTCTGGAGCCGTCCTTCCTGAGCTAAGACAAAAATATATGAGCCAGAGGCTTAAAAACTGTGACCTAGCTCACACTAACTCAGCTTAGAGGAAACACTGCCTGTGAGGTAGGTGGGGCTGAGAGAGCTCTCTCTCGAGGACTGCTCTTGAGAGAACAGCTCTGAAAGAACTTGTGACTGACCCAAGGTCACCCAGCAACTACATGTGGAGGAGTGGGGAATCAAACCCGGTTCTCCCAGATTAGAGTCCACGCTCCTAACCATTACACCAAAAAGAGGAGGGTTAGCTTTGGATTGAAGTCCCCCTCCATACTCAAGCTGTTGGTCCCCCACCTTGATTTTCTGCCTGTTCCCATCCAGCCCCAACATAAACGCGAGGCAACGGAAATGGCTTGTACAAAACATGTCGACAGTTTTTATTGTCTCTTTAAAAACCACTTAAAAATGATAATCTCTCGGTGGGTAGATGGGGAATTAAAAATATAACCGCCATCTTGTCTTGCTGGCCGGTTGCTCTGATAAACTGTTCCCCACCACCACCCTGGCAAGCTCCTCCAAGCGGGTGGGGTGGGGGCCCACAGGAAGACAGGATGTTCTCTTCAGAGCCTGCCGGGAAGCCTTCGGCACCTGTCCTTTGTGCCAATAGCCTAGGGGAGGGATGCATGGGGTTGTTGCAGGGCGGGCTGAAGGCAGGGTACAGCGGGTGGGTGGTGGGAGATGGTGGCTTGCACGTGTCCGGTTGGCAACCCAGGAATGGCGAGGAAGCCACAGCGAGTCTGGCCTGGGGGGGGGGGCTGGGGGATGGGGGGGGAGGGACTGGGGCCCCAGCGGTGGTTCAATGCAAGGAGAAAATAGGAACTTCACCTCCCCTACTGGGGGGTGAGGGAGGAGAAATGTGAGAAGTCGGAAAATGACATCTCTGCTGAGATGCCTGGAAGAGACGGTCCCGGACGAGCCCCCTCCCCGCATCCCGATCCCCCTAGCCAGGAGCACCGAGGGAGCTGTAAGCCGGTTCACACGCTTTATTTGCTTTTTTGTGGAGGATGGGGTGGGGGGTGGAGTGGGAGGTGGACCCGGTTTCTCGCTGGCCTGGTAACACTTCTGATTACAGATCCCCTGGCAGTGGTGACCAGTGTCTTCCGTGCCCCCTGGTGGACGGCCATACAGAATCCCCCTTTCCCTGCCGTGTCAGTCTAGACAGGATGGCAAGGAGCAGGACAATGCCGGGCGTGGAGCACAGGTCACATGGGGAGCGGGGTGGGGAGGCAGGGGCAGAGGGGGTGCTGCTCAGGAAAGGGACAGTCAGAGCGTTCAAGTCTCGCTGAGTGGGGGGGCACACACACGCAGATGCATCTCTCGCGCGTTTCATTGCTGCCGATGGTGTCCGTCCAGGTGCTCCGGGACCACTCTCTGCTAACGCCGCTGTTGCCTGGGAACCGCTGGCGCCGAGGCAGATGGGAGGCAGGCGGGCAAGCGGTGCTGCCAGGGCCCTGACCCCCCCTCCTCAGTCACTGTCTGAGCCCACTGCTGAGGAGCCTTTCCGCTTCCGCTTCGTTGGTTTCGGTTTGGTGTCTTCCTCCTCCTAGGAGCGAAGAAAACCTCATGTTAAAGGCAGGCTTTAGAGAAGGTTTGGGGAAGGGGCGAGGGTTATGAATATCAAATCAAGGGTGGCCCCGGTATTGCCTAATGGGGCAGATATGGCCCCCTTCCCCCGAGCATTATATCTGCCCCTTAACGACCCTACTAGCCACATGTACAAGAAGAGCTGCCGTTTGATTTAGAGAAATCTTAGCTGATCTATTTTGGTCTGCGTCTATCTGCAAATGAGAAGGCATAAGAGATCTACTGAAAACCCCTCCACGCTTTTCAGAGGATATCCTCCCTGGGCTGTAACAGGCATCATCTCATTCCCCCTTCCTCTCACATTGCCTCAGAAGGGCATTCCCCCCTTCTCTCACATTACCTCAGAAGAGACATTCCCCCCTTCTCTCACATCGCCTCAGAAGAGACATCCCCCCCTTCTCTCACATCACCGCAGAAGAGACATTCCCCCCTTCTCTCGCATCACCTCAGAAGAAGCATTCCCCCTCTCACATCACCTCAGAAGAAGCATTCCCCCTTCCTCTCACATCGCCTCAGAAAAGGTATTTCTTCCTTCTCCTGCATCACCTCAGAAGAAGCATTCCCCGTTCTCTCGCATCACCTCAGAAGAAGCATTCCCCGTTCTCTCGCATCGCCTCAGAAGAAACATTCCCCCCTTCTCTCACATCACCTCAGAAAAGGCATTCCTTCCTTCTCTCGCATCGCCTCAGAAGAGACATTCCCCCCTTCTCTTGCATCACCTAAGAAGAAGCATTCCCCCCCTCTCTCGCATCGCCTTTGAAGAGGCATTTCCATTTCTCTCGCATGGCCTCAGAAGAGGCATTCCCCCTTCCTCTCGCATCACCTCAGAAGAAGCATTCCCCCTTCCTCTCACATTGCCTCAGAAGGGGCATTCCCCCCTTCTCTCGCATCGCCTCAGGAGAGACATCCCCCCCTTCTCTCGCATCACCTCAGAAGAGACATTCCCCCCTTCTCTCACATCGCCTCAGAAGAGACATTCCCCTCTTCTCTCGCATCGCCTCAGAAGAGACATTCCCCCCTTCTCTCACATCGTCTCAGAAGAGACATTCCCCCTTTCACTTGCATCACCTCAGAAGCATTCCCCCTTCTCTCGCATCACCTCAGAAGAAGCATTCCCCTTTCCTCTCACATTGCCTCAGAAGGGGCATTCCCCCCTTTTCTTGCATTGCCTCAGGAGAGACATTCCCCCTTCTCTCACATCACCTCAGAAAAGGTATTCCTTTCTTCTCTCGCATCGCTTCAGAAGAGACATTCCCCCCTTCTCTTGCATCACCTTAGAAGAGGCATTCCTTCCTTCTCTTGCCTCACCTCAGAAGAGACATTCCCCCTTCTCTTCCATTACCTCAGAAGAGGCATTCCCGCCTTCTCTGACACACAGGAGGGAATTCCTCTGATGGCACATGTGATCTTTAGCATTTATAGGTACCCAATGTTGGCTCTGCCGCTAGTATCTGGCATTCTAGACCGGAAGCAATTCCAGCACACCCGGCAAGGTCGTTCTTATCAAAGGCCTGGCAAGTGGCAGATAGGAGGCTGGATTTACAGTGCACAATATTGGTGGAACTCTACCCTACAGGGTCTCGCTCAGAGGGCAACCCCTCAGTGTGACGATAAAAGGAATGAGGGCTTTGTATGCTGCCCCAAGAACCTCAGAGGAACCGTTGATTTCACTGCTGGCTCCAGATCAGTGGTGGCTGGGGAACTACTGCTAGCTATCCTCCCTTCCCACCGCTCCATGAGGAGTCCCCCGAGGGTTTACTCCATGTGCCGCTGCCCACAACTCACCGAGGCGCTACTGGAGGCAGACTCCTCTTCGTTGTTGGCCGGCTGGGCTGCGTTCTTGCGGCTGCGGGGGCTGGACATCGTGGCTTTCCGGCGGCTCTTGGGGGGCTTGCTGGAGGAGTCCTCGTACTCCTCGGCCAGAGAGAAGAGGTCGCTGAACCTGGGGAGGGGGGGGAGGGTCACAAAGGATTGGGGACGGGCAATGAAAACCGGAGGGGGCAACCATGTGATCCCTGGCTCTCCCCCCAATCCTTTTCCTTGCAGGCGTCAGGATGCATTACCCTTCCAGGAAAGGTTCTGCTCCTGTTCTTGGGTTCCCCGTACCCTTCTTTAAAGTACACCTCCTCCTACCTAATGGAGGAAGCTTTGACTCTCTTGACTTGTTGGTCTCCAAGGTGCCACTGGGCAAATCTAGCAGTTCTTCTGGAGACCAACGCAGGTACCCCCTGGAATCCCCCTCCCGTGGTCCTGAAGAGACCCCCCCCCGGCCACTTACTTCATCTTGTGGGCCTCGTCGCAGCTGGCCTGGACGTGCTGCAGCGCTTGAAGGATCGGGGTTTGGCTGAAGACTGCCAGGGAAGAGAGGAGGAGGGGCCATCAGAGTGGATCGAAGGAGGAGGACACAGTAGTTGGCCCTCCAGAGGAACTGGTTGAGGCCACTGTGTGAGGCAGAATGCTGGACTAGATGGACCCTCACTGGTTTGATCCAGCAGGGCTCTTCTGATGTTCTCATGAGGGGAAGGCCTCGGCCTCTCTGCCCTGTTGTTGGCCCTTCCAGAGGAACTGGTTGAGGCCACTGTGTGAGGCAGGAGGCTGGACTAGATGCACCCTTACTGGTCTGATCCAGCAGGGCTCTTCTTGTGTTCTTATGAGGGGAAGGTCTCGGCCTCTTTGTTGTTGGCCCTCCAGAGGAACTGGTTGAGGCCACTGTGTGAGACGGGATGCTGGACTAGATGGACCCTCACTGGTCTGATCCAGCAGGGCTCTTCAGATGTTCTTATGAGGGGAAGGCCTCAGCCTCTCTGCCCTGTTGTTGGCCCTCCAGGGGAACTGGTTGGCCACTGAGTGAGACAGGATGCTGGACTAGGTGGACCACCGGCCTGATCCAGCAGAGCTCTTCTGACACTCTTAAGACCCTCTGTTCTACCAACAAAGAAAAGGTTTCCATCACAAGCTTCCCTATCCCTGTTTAACCCGTACCCCTGTTTTCCCCATACGACAAACCCAGTGATAGAGCAAGACGGTATCATCTTGATGGGGGGGGGGGGGTAGATCAAAATTCATATCTGAAGGAGTGAGCGGTGACCTACGAACACTCCTACCCCGCCACAAATTTTGTTAGTCTCTTTAAGGTGCTACTGGACTCTTGCTCTTTTCTGCGACGACCCAGTGAGGCAGGCCAGGTGGAGAGTGGGTGGAACGTGCACCGTGGGTTTTGCGAACGGGGGGAGCGCGGGGGGGGTGGGGACTTGTTACGTACAGTTCTGTTTGGTGTTGGTGAGGTTCAGGCGCAAATTGTCCAGGTGCTCCAGGATCTGCTCCAGAGTCAGCTGGGCCAGTTTGCTGCTGGAACTCCGCAGGCTGGAAGGTGAAAGAGAGAGCGAGAAAAATAAGAGGCGGGGCTGAAGGGGCTCTTCGGAGGACTATTCGGCCTTCTGAACCTCCGTATGGAAGCAAGAATATCACAATTCAGACACAGTGTTCGGATTCGCTCGCTCTGGGGCTGTGTGAGTGCCCCGGCCCGGCGCACAACCTCCCTGCGAGGCAGGTTTGGCTAAGAGAGCGTGACTCGTCTGTGGTCGCCCAGGATGCTTCGTGACCGAGAGCGGGTTCCGAACCTGGGTCTCCCGGATTTGAGTCCAGCACCTTCACTGGTACATCACACTGACTAAACCTAAAGAGAGGGCGAATGAGTGCTGTATTACACCCAGCCTACAGCTGTTTCACTGCCTGCCCATCAATGACTGGGTTCAGTTCAAGGTACCGGGCGATGGCGTGCAAAACCTTTCACAGGCCTGGACCCTCGTATCTACAGGACTGCCTCTCCTCGGACGCTCCGCCACGACAGCCTCTCTCCTCTGAGCAGGACTTTCTGTGGGTGCAAACGGGCAAGATCGACAGTCGCCTGTACGTGCGCATTCTCCATGGTGGCGGACAAAAGGACACGCTGCTTTACGGAGAGGGTTATTAAAATGTGGGCTTTGCTGCCAGAGGATGTAGTGATGGCTACAGGAATAAACAGCTTTAAAAAGGGGTTAGAGGGATTCATGGAGGATAAGTCTATCAATGGCTGCTAGCCATGGTGGCTGAGGGGAACCTCCACATTCAGGGGCACTGAGCCTCTGAATCCCAGAGCCAGGAGGCAACATCAGGAGAAGGCCTTGGCCTTTCTGCCCTGTTGTGGACCTCCAGAGGAACTGGTTGAGGCCACTGTGTGAGACAGGATGCTGGACTAGATGGACCCTCACTGGTCTGACCCAGCAGGGCTCTTCTGATGTTCTTATGAGGGGAAGGCCTCAGCCTCTATGCCCTGTTGTTGGCCCTTCCAGAGGAACTGGGCGAGGCCACTGTGTGAGGCAGGATGCTGGACTAGATGGACCCTCACTGGTCTGACTCAGCAGGGCTCTTCTGATGTTCTTATGAATGGAAGGCCTCAGCCTCTATGCCCTGTTGTTGGCCCTACTGGAGGAACTGGGCGAGGCCACTGTGTGAGACAAGATGCTGGACGAGATGGACCCTCACTGGTCTGCCTCAGCAGGGCTCTTCTGATGTCCTTATGAGCGGAAGGCCTCGGCCTCTCTGCCCTGTCGTTGGCCCTCCAGAGGAACTGGTTGAGGCCACTGTGTGAGACGGGATGCTGGACTAGATGGACCCTCACTGGTCTGCCTCAGCAGGGCTCTTCTGATGTCCTTATGAGCGGAAGGCCTCGGCCTCTCTGCCCTGTCGTTGGCCCTCCAGAGGAACTGGTTGAGGCCACTGTGTGAGACAAGATGCTGGACTGGATGGACCACTGGTCTGATCCAGCAGGGCTTACTTTCTTATGTTGGGCAGCTAAGGCAAACCACCTCTGAACGTCTCTTGACTTGAGAACCCTTCAGGGTTGCCAGAAGCCGGCTGCGACGTGACGGCACTTTCCATCAGAAGCCCTATTAGATTGCTATTGAGACGTCTCAACCTACGGATTGCCTTAACATCCGCTGTGTGATCTGTCTTGTGCCTCGGTGAGAAAGGAGGGCTACAAATAACTGAGTTTCAAACAATAAAATGAAACCAACGTAACTCCTGTGGACTCCGCAACTCACTGCAAAAAACCCCCAAGTTCTACTCGAGAAGCTCTTCCGAGGAGCACATCTGGGAAACCTGTTATTTCAGGGCAGCAGAAAGCCCCATGGAAGTTCCCCTCCTCTAGCCCCCTCATTCTCTGTTCCCTTGGCTAATGCTCAGATGCCAGAGAGGAGGAAGAGAGAGCCACTAGATGTCCCTCTAGTTCCATAGACAAAAGCCAGGTGCCCGGCTAACTGTGGCCGCCAGCAGAGGGCGCTGTTCTCCATGCCGGACCAAGGGACGGCGCATCATCCACACACACACACCCTTTCTCTATGCCTTGTTTCCTCTTCTGGGATACAGGTTTGCATCTGACCCGAAGGGACCAAGGCACAACGTCTCCAGGCAGTGTTCTTCTTCATGCCCTTGGTTTTCAAATGAGCAGGAAGAATCCTTTTAAAAGAGACGAGGCCGAACTTCCGAGATATAGTGGTGCTGGAGGGTAAGCGGCCCAATGGCAGGGCGCTGCTTCGTCCTCTTTGGACTGCGGGAGCGGGGACCGCCCAACTGAATCACTCCCCTCCATGTTGTTCTGGACCTTCTCACAGAGAAGAGCAGCATTTCGGGGGGGGGGGGAGCGCAGGGGCCTGCGCGGCGAACTTTTCTGCTTTTTGGGCAGGGAAGGAGAAGAAGAAGAGGAGGAGGAAGAGATTGGATTTATACCCCGCCCTTCACTACCCGAAGGAGTCTCAGAGTGGCTTACAAACTCCTTTTCCCTTCCCCGCCCCACAACGGACACCCTGTGAGGTAGGTGGGGCTGAGAGAGCTCTCTCGAGAAGTGCCCTTGAGAGAACAGCTCTGAGAGAACTTGTGACTGACCCAAGGTCACACCAGCAGCTGCATGTGGAGGAGGCACAGGGAGTCAAACCCGGTTCTCTTCGATTAGAGTCCGCGGACTTAACCACTACACTGAACTGGCTCTCAGTGGGATTTCCTGCCTTTCAGCTACCTCCTGGCATCGCCCTGCCGTGCCCATGGGGGGTGCTGAAGCCCACACTGACCATCCCCCAGCTCTGCCCCCAAGAAGACCCTCCTGCGTCTTCAGATGCCGCACCTCCTTTTGTTTAAGGCAAGGTTCAGATTACGTTTCTTTTCTCTTTTTTTGGAGGGGGCCACACAGTCCCGAATCAAAGACTCAGTGGGCCCCCCGGATCCTGCCAGGCTCCAAAGGAGGCATCGATCCACTCTGGTACAGGGGCAGAGACAAACACAGGGGGCCTCTCACTTTCCCACAGGTTGGGGGATTATGAATACCTTTGGAATCCGGGGCTTCTTTAGTCCGGGTTGGAGGGCGGGGAGGTCAGAAAGACTGTTCTGGTAAAAGGCAGGGGGGGGGGGCAAGCTGAGGCCTCAGAGCTCACGGTGGCTGCCGGCAAGAGAACCCCAAAGAAGGGGCCCGGCCCTCCACGCCCTTTTGTGTAGCCAGGATCTTGTGGCTTGTGGGGCAAATTTTCATCTGGTGGGGTTGCTGTTATTTTCACGTCAGTTCCAATCCGCCTCCAAGCCTGACCGCCGGTGGCCACCCCCCTCCCTCCCGCCAGGTTGGTGCAGTGGTTAAGTGCGCAGACTCTAATCTGGGAGAACCGGGTTTGACTCCCCCACTCCTCTACTTGCAGCTGCTGGATGACCTTGGGCAAGCTGTAGCTCTGATAAGAGCTGTCCTTGAAAAAGAGCACTTTCTGTCAAGAGCTCTCTCAGCCCCACCCACCTCACAGGGTGTCTGTTGTGGGGAGGGGAAGGGAAAGGAGTTTGTAAGCTGCTCTGAGACACCTTCGGGTAGTGAAGGGCAAGGTATAAATCCAATCTCTTCTTCTTCTTCTTGAAAAAGAGCAGTTTCTGTCAGAGCTCTCTCAGCCCCACCCACCTCTCAGGGTGTCTGTTGTGGGGAGGGGAAGGGAAAGGAGTTTGTAAGCCGCTCTGAGACACCTTTGGGTAGTGAAGGGCGGGATATAAATCCAATCTCTTCTTCTTCTTCTTCTCCTGCAAGATTTAAAGGGTCCCTCAGCTGATGGGGGAACCACCTGGCCCGCCAGTCAGCTGGAGGGCCCTTTAAATCTTGCAGGAGGGGAGGGAGGGGGGCATGCACCATGCCCTGCTTCTTCTCAAAAGCGTTTAAAGGATCCCTTCAAACGCTTTTGAGGAAAAGCGAGGGGGGCCGTGCACGCGACCCCCCCCCACTCTTCTCCCAAAAAATCTTGTGGGGCTGGACCTTCAAGAAAAGGAGCAGAGCCCCCAAGCAGTGTTCCCTCTGAGCCGAGTTAGTGTGAGCTAGCTCGCAGTTCTTTAGCCTCCGGCTCACATATTTTTGACTTCGCTCAGGAAGGAGGGCTCCAGAGCAAGCTGACTGATGCAGCAGCCAAGTCGCTCGCAAACAGCTTTAATGCCGGCAGCTCACAAAGTAGGGTTTTTGCTCGCAAGACCCCACAGCTTAGAGGGGGCATTGCCCCCAAGAGCCCCACTGTAGCTACGGGCCAGCCTCCAATCCTCCCTTGGCAAAGGAATGCTCCGCCGAGGCCTCCCCCTCTCCAGCCGGGCTTGAAACCTAGACCTTCCCCTCTGGCTCTAATTGGGCTTGGGGGCCTGGTGCTGGGGTGGCGCCTGTCAGTCAGCGCTCTGGCCCCAGGGGAGAAAGCTTCCGAATAAATTGCACCGAGTTTTGCAATGCAGATGAGGGTGCAGGCGGGGAATCCAATTACAGGGGCTGCGGAGGGAGAAGCGGGCCTCTCTTTCCTCCTCTCTGGGAACAGAATGAGGACAAGAGATGCACGGAAGCTAATGCCCACGGATGGGCAATGCGGGGCTTGTCCTCAGGGAGGGGCTGGAGGCTGCTTGGGGGTGGGTCGGGGACACAGTGTTCCCTCTAAGCTGAGTTAGTGTGAGCTAACTGACAGTTTCTTAGCCTCCGGCTCACACATTTTTGTCTCCGCTCAGGAAGGGATGGCTCCGGAGCAAACCAATTTATGCGGCGGCCAAATCGCCGGCTCACAACTTTAATGCCGGCGGCTCGCGAAGCAGAATATTTGCTCGCAAGACTCCACAGCTTAAGAGAGAGCATTGTGGCAGGGATCCGTCATCCGTTGCCAATTTGGTGCCAGAGACTTGCAGCCTTCTGTTTCTAACACTCATTAAAGCAGGGGTTTCCAACGCCTTTTTTACGAGGCCCGGATCTGATGTAATTGTTACTTTGTCCTGCGGAGCCAGGTGTGCCATAAAATGTAATGCCAGGTACTGGAGATATAAACTTTATAAGCGACATGGGCAAACCCAATTAATTGATTCCTAAGACCTAGCAGTTCGAAAGCAAGAAATTGCAAGTAGATAAATAGGTACCACTTCAGTGGGAAGGTAACAGCTTCCCATGCGCCTTGGTGTTTAGTCATGCCGGCCACATGACCACGGAAATGTCTTCGGACAGCACTGGCTCTTCGGCTTTGAAACGGAGATGAGCACCGCAACCCTAGAGTCGGATTCGACTGGCTTTCGAGCAAGGGAACCTTTACCTTTTAAGACAAAGTTTGAGTCTAGTGGCACCCTTTAAAACCAACAAAGGTTTATTCAAGGTATGAACTTTGATGTGCACGCACACTTCCTCTGATACATTAAAATGGAAGGTAAGAGTCTACGTTACATATGCTAACTCATTCAGTCCTCACATATGGATTCTAAACAAGAAGGACTATACATCCTCTGTATTTCAGCGTATTTTTCAGAATACTATATTAGAACACTGAATGTAATGCAAGGAATGTCGGAATGTTTTGCTGAAAGAACACTGTACCCAGGGATCATTTCCTGCAGGAGCGCACAGGAGCGGAGCTCCGGCAGTAAAGAGTCCAGGGGGTGGGCACATGCAACAAGCCCCACCCCCTGCTACCAGCAGCCCTCAGTCAGAGCAAGAAGCAGCCAGGTAAGCTGCAGAGCTCCCCCCGGCCCAAAACAGTCCAGTGGCACCTTTAAGACCAAGTTTTATTCAGGCACAAGCTCTCCCTCCTCTGCGATGACAGATCTGCAAGTCCCCCCCCCCCAATAGCTAGCCATCCAAAACAGTCCAGTGGAGCCTGAGCGGTGGGTGTTGCCTTCTGACACACTTCCGGTGATGTCAGGGGGTGTGGCATATGCAAATGAGTAATGCAAATGAGTTGTGCTAATGAGCTCCTGCACCTCTTTTTCTACGAAAGGACCCCTGATTGCACCTACCTCGAAAAAAAGAAAAAAATGCTGTCAGGTTAGCTCCACGCCTGAGAGGAGACGAATGGAGAGTCTCAGTTTACTTCACACAATTAGAAAAGTTACCTTTACACATTTATCTCCTGTTTTGACATATCTGTTGCTTTACTCTTCTTCCCCTCCCCTTAATTAAATCAAAACAACTGCTGACCTTATAACCTTGGCTTGTTGTTTAGTTTTGTTTCTGCGTGTCTTAAAATACCTTCATCATGTTATGTGTTACTCTGCTGTTCAGCCTCTGTCTATAGGTGTGAACTCTTCCGTTTCAATGTATCTGAGGCAGTGTGCGCCCACATGCAAGCTCATGCCTTGAATAAGCCTTCGTTGGTCTGAAAGGTGCCACCGGACTCTAGATCTGCTCTACTGCTTCAGACCAGCACTGACTTCCTGATTCCTATTAGCGAAAGCAACTGATTTACTGGCGAATCCACAAAAGGGGGCAGGGGTCTGAACCTGGTTCTCCCAGATCCCCTACCGCCAGTTATCATCCCCCCCCCCCGCATTTGTCACAGAAGCTGAGGGGAAGGCCAAACGGAGAGGCTGTTTCTGAAACCTCTGAGGGGTGTTTTTTGACCTCACGCGAGCCCTTTTCCTTCATGGGCTGAGAACAGGTGCTGCGGAGAAGGGAGGTCGCCATCCCCCCTCCCCCCCCTCCCCGACGCTCACTCTGCCTCCTGGCACCGGGGCTGTTCAAACGTGCGGCGGTGACAGTGGCACCCCCCTTCCCCCTCCGCTCCTCCACGCGCTTTCCCCTCTGAGCGGCGTGCACGAGGCAGCCCAGTTGCCTCCCAGTCGACGCGCCGGCCCTCCTCTCTCCCCTACCGGCCCCATCCCTTCGGCAGCAAACCACCGCTTCACGTGCCCGCACTGGCCAACCCCCCCCCCCAATGGTCGCTGTTTGGTACAGCAGTGGCAGCGCTGGCCGCTTGGCTCCGCCCCTCCCTGTAGTGGCTTCGCCAATCCTCGCTAAGCTGCGGCCGAAGGAGGCGGGAGGGGGAAAAAAACACCACACGACTTCTCTTTCGCCGCCGTCACTCCCATTCCCCCCGCACTATTTTACCTCAGTCTCATAGTCCTGCCCCCTAGCAATTTCCTTTCTGTTTCTTGACAACCACACACACCTCACCACGTGCACCCACTTGCCTTCTCCTCTCCCTTGAGCAGCCTCCTGCTTTCCCTCCCTTGCACCAGTTGCTGTTGGGCTGGATAAGAGCACTGTCCCTGGACAGGCCGGTTCTGGCCCCGAGGCCGTATGTTTGACACCCCTGCATTAGGTGAGGGCAGCACCTGAAGCAATCGTTAGAAGGCGAAAGAAAACGGCTTTGGAGAGCTACTGGAGGCAGTGTGCTGTGGTGATTAAGAGAACGGAGACCTGGGTTCAAATTCCCACTCTGTCAGAAAGGTCCTCTAGAGACAGCGGCATATAAAATTTCCAAAATTGATTTATTTACTTCATTCGTACCTCCCCTTTCTCCCAGATGGGGACCCAAAGCAACGCACATCATTCCCCTTCGTTTTATCCTTACAACAACCCTGAGAGGTAGCTGAGGCTGAGGGAGTGTGACGGGCCCAAGGTCACCCAGCAAGCTTATTCGAACCTTAGTCTCCCCGATCCTGACCCGACACTCTAATGGCTACACTGCGCTGGAAGACGGAGCTCAGCAGGGGAGCTTGGGGGTGGCTGCTGTCCTTCAGACTGTCCTACCTCACGGGATTGTTGTTAGGATAAACAAGGAAGGGGGAATCAAGTGCTCCTTGTAGGAAGGCGGAGCAAGGTCCGTGTGGAGCGGCAAAGGTGAGGGATTCCCGCAGCCAAAAAACCCTCCCCCAAACCCAAGACCGCTCCTTTTTTTCTACGTACGGCAGTTACAACAGCTGTTCCCAACCTGTGGGTCCTGATCCTGACCCCAAAGTGGGTTGTGAACCATGGAAAAGAGGGTGGTGGGCATTTGCAGATTTGTTTGCCCACAGGCTGGGTCGCTATCTCGAGTAAACTCGGGACTCGCGGGCCACCGTACCAAAAAAGGCTGGGAGCTACGGGGTTCCGCAACCTAAGCGGATGCACTTGTTCTTCCTCCCGCCCCGCCCCACCTCCGCACTCCTTCCCCGTGCCTGGCCTCACCTTTGGCGTTTCCGGGGCAGGCTGTTGTTCTTGATCAGGAGGGACTTGATGTGCTCCGCCAAGAGGTCGTCGTGTTTGATGCACCAGTGCCGGAGGATGCTGGTGGTGAACTGGTCGTCCGGGTGGCACGGCCGGCTCAGCACCATCTTCACCATCTCTTCGCTGGGCCTGCGGCAGAACACAGGTGGGGACTGGTTTTTATTTCTCCTCCTTTTTATTAAAAAAAGGGGGGGACCGGAAATGACAGGTAAGGGTCTCCTGAGAGACGATCTCCTCCAGGGACGGGCTGGATTTGGGCTGAAGAACATAAGAGACGCCAGTGTTGGATCAGGCCAAAGGCCCATCTAGTCCAACACTCTGTCACACAGTGGCCAAAAATACCAGGTGCCATCAGGAGGTCCACCATTGGGGCCAGGACATTAGAAGCCCTCCCACTGTTGACCCCCCCCCCCAAGCACCAAGAAGACAGAGCATCACATGCCCCAGAGCCCCTATCTATACCTTGTAGCTAATAGCCACTGATGGACCTCTGCTCCATATGCCTATCTAATTCCCTTTTGAAGCCATCCATGCTTGTAGCCACCACCACTTCCTGTGGCAGTGAATTCCATGTGTTAATCACTCTTTGGGTGAAGGCTTCCTTCAGAGTCGGCTTGCTTTAACCACGCCCACGGGAAACCAAACCAAACCAAACAAACCTCCTGTTAAAAAAAAGCAGATGTGGCCCTGACCCGGATAGTCCGGGCAAGCCCGATCTTGCCAGATCTCAGAAGCTAAGCGGGGTCGACTGTGGCAGGTCCTTGGATGGGAGACCTCCTTGGGATACCAGCAGTCGGGAGGCGGGGGCAGGCTTTATTCAGCCACTCTCCGAATATCCTCCAGGCCACCAGTAGGGGTCACTCACCAGAGGCCGCCATGACTTCCAGGTACGTACACACACGCACAGATGAAAAATACAGAAAATACTCAAAAAAGCAGATATGAAAGAATTTGCAATAAACGTGCCTCTGAGCATACATAGAGCGCAAATACACTCACCAATGGCAGCCAGTTTCTATCAATCTAAAATGCAGGACTTGCTTCTAGAAGAAACGGCCGTCGGCCAGGCAGGCCTGAGCCCTCCAAACCTTTTCTTTCCAGAACTTATGCTTGGCCACCGTCTTCCCCAGTTGCGCCCCCAGGACACGCCCCACAGAGCCGGCGCTGGCACACCGCAGGGTGGGGGCATCTGCCAAGGGCCCCGTTGCTGCCGCTCCCATCCGCTCACCCACCCTGCTGCACATCTGCTTGTTGTGAGCCTTCCCGCCACCCCCCCACCCTCCCAGCCGCCTGCCCTGCCTGGCACAGACAGTGATGGGGTTGTGAGCGATGGGAGGACTGGGAAACAGGCCAGTGGGTGGGGAGAGGACAGGTGGCTAGGCAGTGGGGTGGGAGAGCAGTGTTCCTTCTCGGCTGAGTCAGTGTGAGCTAGCTCACAGTCTTTTTAGCCCCCGGCTCACACATTTTCGTCTTCGCTCGGGAAGGACGGCTCCAGAGCAAACTAACTGATGTGGCAGCCGAATCGCTGGCTCACAACTTTAATGCCAGCAGCCCACAAAGAATTTTTGCTCACAAGACTCCACAGCTTAGGGGGAGCCAGGGTTCACTTCCTGTGGGAGCGCATAGGAGCGGCGCTCCGGCAGTAAGGAGCCCAGGGAGCGTGCACATGCAACAATCCCCACCCCCTGCTCCCAGCAGCCCTCAGTCGGGCCATGAGGAGCAAGAAGCAGCCAGGTAAGTTGCAGAGCCCCACCCCGCCTTCAGGTACAAGCTCTCCCTCCTCTGTGAGGGCAGATCTGCACTTGTCACCCCTACCCATAGCTAGCAATCCAGAACAGTCCAGTGGCACCTTTAAGACCAAGTTTTATTCAGGTACAAGCTCTCCCTCCTCTGCGAGGACAGATCTGCATGTCCCCCCTCCCCCAATAGCTAGCAATCCAAAACAGTCCAGTGGAGCCTGAGCGGTGGGTGTTGCCTTCTGACACATTTCTGGTGATGTCAGGGGGTGTGGCATATGCAAATAAGTTATGCTAATGAGCTACTGCACCTCTTTTTCTACGAAATGATCCCTGGAGGGAGCACTGGTGGGGAGGTGCGAGGGGGGGGGCTCAGTGGCCAGCGGAGGAGAGGCAGGGCCCCCCGGGCACTCCCACCAAAACCTGGAACCCACCCCGACGGCCCACAGACTTTACTGAAATGTTTAAGCTTTTCGACGGCGATCCTCCCCCGCTGCTAATCCTCTGGGCCTGGACTACACTTTTCATCACCACATTAGTAGCATCGCTGACCCAAACCCCACAGGAAAGCACCCCTGCGCGGAGTGGGCCTTAAATGCCCACCTCCGCGTGCGCCGAGGCTCGGTGTGAGGCCTGGCTCTTCAAAGCGTGCTTCGCCATTAACACACAGCCAGGGACCGCTTGCAACTTCCCGGCGGCAGAACACAAGCAGCGGGACGTGCTTGGAGGCGGAGGTCCTGCCTTCCCTCTCCCGGGGCGATCGGGAATGGCTGTTAAGGGAAACCCACCCTTCGGTCTGCGTTAGCCTGTTTCCTGCCAGGCCTTCATGAATGGGAATTAAAGCGCTCTCCTGAGAAGTACTGCGGGCGGCCCTACAGGGACGGACCATGATGTTGCAGGTTCCCTGTGGATCTGGGTCAGGGCAAATGCTGCCACCGGCAACAAAATACAATTGATGCGGGCTTGCTTCTAAGAGAGAGAGGGGCCATGGCCACCCACACAGAGAGGCTCAGGGCAGCTTAGCTGGAAAGCCAAAGAGCCTTCAAAAGGGGGGGGGGGGGGAGATGGCATCTATGGATGTTAGATAAGAGGGGCCAGTGTTTTCTAATAATATCCCTCCCTTGAGCAGATCTCCCATCATACGTCACTGGAATAATCATTCTATCTGTTTGTCTGTTTTGGGGGCTTTGCGGGCTCTGCCCCCTTTCTTCAAGACACAGCCCCACAAGAATTTCTACCGCAAACGCTTTTTTCAATCACTTTAAAACGTTTTTAAAAGTTGTGTGCTCCTTTAAGCAGAGTGGGGTGCTGTAGTTGACTGATTCCCGCACTGAGCAAGGGGGTTGGAGTAGGTGACCTCTAGGATACCCTCACTCTGTGTCAAGAAACTGGTCTCCTCTAAGAGAGTTTTTCTGCCTAAGTGTGAGCTGTCTTGACTATAGAAGTCATCACCCCCACCTGCCCGCTTGTTGTCAGAATTGTTGCTTAGGCTGGCAGAAGTCATTAACTTGCAGCAGCTGAGAACTGTCATCTAAAGTGGTTGATAGCTTGCAGTTGTTTTTTCTCTCTGCCCTGAGAACTTCAGCCTCGCCAGAAAAAAAATCTGCCCCACAAGCCACAAAATCCTGGCTATGGGCCTGGGCATGCACGGGCCCAAGTTGGATTGGGACCCCCACACACACACCTTCTGTGCAAAGAAACTGCCAGGAACCCCGTTAATGGTCTACTGGCAGCCATTTGCTGGCTATCCCACCCCTTAGGGTGGCCCGTCAAGCAACAACTGGAGGCCAGGCCTCTTCCCCATCGTGGCTCTGGCTCTGTGGAATGGGCTCCCTGAAGAGGCGAGGGGGGGGGGACCCCTTCCTTGGAGATCTTCAGCAGGCGCGCTGGTTGATAGTTTTGCCAGTACTTTTGAGGGGGATGTGAATGGCAGGTGTCTTTTAAGGGGGCGAGGCAAGGAGCAATGTGGGCCGTCTGCCGCGAGCAGCAGAATCAAGAGAAGAAAACAGGCTGTCGTTCTCCGGAGCCCGCGCCAGATCCCACGCAGAGAAAGGCCGGAGACGGCCGGCGAGACCCTCGGCTGGGATATCGACAGCATCAGAAAAGATGGAGAGGGTCCACTTGAGCGCTCCGCCGGCCACCCGCCTGCCTCGAGTCCACCGACACCCCCGCTCTCCTGCCACGGCTCCGGGTGCACAGGAAATTGAAAGCCATCTCGATGGTCAGCACGGCAGCCTGATAACACCTTCCCTGGTGCCGGATCGCCAATTAACATTTCAGAAGGGCAAGAGGGGTGGGGGCGCCGATGAAAGCGCTCTGCCATTCAGCGTGGCCCCTCCACCAGACACACCAGGAAAAGCTTTTTGATAACAGCCCCCCCCCCCGACTCTTCCTGAACGCGGAGTGTTTATATCAAAGGGAGTCTGCTGATACCGGGCCAAGGAGGCAGGCAGCGGTGTGCGGCATATGAAAAACAGCTTTGGTTCCTGCCCCTAACCTGCCATGTGTCAAAACTGGAGCTGGCTGAAGCACTAGGAACACGAGAGCTGCTTGGGGATTGGTGAACGTCTTGCAGGTGGCCTCCTGTGACTTGGGTAAAGAGAGCCATATACCGGCAGAGTCCCAGAGAGAGAGAGAGAGGAGCAGCAGGAGGGGCTGTGGCTCAGTGGGGAGAGCCTCTGCCTGGCATGCGGAAGGTCCCCGGTTCGATCCCCGGCATTCCAAATTAAAAAGGACCAGGCAGCAGGGGATGGGAAAGACCTCTGCCTGAGACCCTGGAGAGCCGCTGCCAGTCTGAGTAGGCAATATTGATGATGATGTACTGAGGGTCTGATCCTGTCTAAGGCAGCTCCATGCGCTCATGTGGCTCGTTTCAGAGGGGAGCCGTGTTGGTCTGCAGTGGAACAGCTTGGCTTGAGCCCAGCGGCACCTTAAGAAGCAAAGGAACTGGTTGAGGCCCCTGTGTGAGGCAGGACGCTGGACTAGATGGACCCTCACAGGTCTGATCCAGCAGGGCTCTTCTGATGTTCTTATGAGGGGAAGGCCTCGGCTTCTCTGCCCTGTTGTTGGCCCTCCAGAGGAACTGGTTGAGGTCACTGTGTGAGACAGGATGCTAGACTGGATGGACCCTCACTGGTCTGATCCGGCAGGGCTCTTGTGCTGTTCTTATGAGGGGAAGGCCTCGGCTTCTCTGCCCTGTTGTTGGCCCTCCAGAGGAACTGGTTGAGGTCACTGTGTGAGACAGGATGCTAGACTGGATGGACCCTCACTGGTCTGATCCGGCAGGGCTCTTGTGCTGTTCTTATGAGGGGAAGGCCTCGGCTTCTCTGCCCTGTTGTTGGCCCTCCAGAGGAACTGGTTGAGGTCACTGTGTGAGACAGGATGCTAGACTGGATGGACCCTCACTGGTCTGATCCGGCAGGGCTCTTGTGCTGTTCTTATGAGGGGAAGGCCTCGGCTTCTCTGCCCTGTTGTTGGCCCTCCAGAGGAACTGGTTGAGGTCACTGTGTGAGACAGGATGCTAGACTGGATGGACCCTCACTGGTCTGATCCGGCAGGGCTCTTGTGCTGTTCTTATGAGGGGAAGGCCTCGGCTTCTCTGCCCTGTTGTTGGCCCTCCAGAGGAACTGGTTGAGGCCACTGTGTGAGACAGGGTGCTGGACTAGATGGATCCAGCGGGGCTCTTCATATGTCCATATCTCTGGGGGGGTGGCGTCTGTGGCTGCAGGGTATAACAACATCACGCAGATGGTATTCTGACCAAGAGGAACAATTCCTTCCTTGCACTATGGACATCATTTCAGCTGCCTGAGTGCAAGATAAACCCTTTCACAAAACCTTTCCTAGGCGAATCTTATTGGCATGCCGTGTTACTGGGAGAGACCTTGAAGTATTCTTCCCTGCTGTACTGGACCAGCATGAATCAAAGATTAAAACTTCCGACACAAGGCCAGCCCTTCCCTCCACTCCGAGCCTCTCTCTCCCGGAAAGTGCTCTGTGCTCCTGCGTGCCGATTTTAGCTCCTCAGTGCCACTTTCGTGGCAGATGAAAGTCTTCTTATCGAGTCTAAATTGATTAGAGCTGAGAGCTCTCTCTATCAGGGGAGCTATCGCCTCACCACAGTGCTCGGCGCTTCAGAGCGGAGCGGCAGCCGGGAGCGGAGAAATTAAAGGTTCCATCTGCCAGCGCTGGCTTCTCAAGAAACCCTCTGATTAAGGAATGAAAGTGCCGCTCGCTGTGCTTCAGTTTCCTCTCTGTCTCAGGGGGACCGTGCTCAATTAGAGCCTTCACGCACCATTGGAGGGACCTAGGGTCCGGAGGTGGGCTCAGAGCCACTTCTCTTGGACTTAAACCAGACCCCGGGGGGTTCTCGGAAACCAGCCGGGAGAGAGGGGGACCCCAGAAGAGGAACGGGGAGGCCGAAGACAAGACCCAGCCGGGGAGAGCCCATCCCATGGAGAGGGAAATCTGGGATATAACCAAGTCGCCCCTGTCTTCAGACGACAAGACGGAAAGCCCTTGGGGGTATGGCCTGGGGGCCCCCGGTGTCTTGCCCCGTGACCGGCTTGGCGAATTGCATCTGTGACGAAATGGCTGCCAGGCCTTAAAGTGGATGCCAGCCTGGTAGTTCTTTACGTGTGTGGGGAGGTACTCCTTAGGGAACCATGGAGCTGCCATACCTCCCTGCCTACAGTTCCCAGCAGCCTTGAGGGGAAAGAGAGGGAAAAGATGGACACACCCCAGGGGCGGGGCCAAGGAGAAAGGAGTTTTTTGGCTCCTGAGGGGAAAAGAGTCAGTCTCAGCCTGGTCTTCATCGTGGACGGCAGGTTCAAGGGAGAGTACAGGTGGGACTCCTGTCACCAGAGACTCCGTGGGCAGTCCAGGCCACCATAGATCATGGTGGAGAGCCAGGAGGGTGGCAGTACTGGTGGCCAGTCCTGAGGAGGAGGGCTGGAGTTTCTCTCCACAACAGGAGGGGGAAATGCCTAACCTGTATATAGTTGAATAAATCTTCCTTTTTGAGTTTAAAAAGCCTGGTGTGCCTTAACCACATAGTCCTCCATGCTCTGCACGTTACCAGGGGCAAAGGGAGGCCAGGGGACATAAACGGGCCCAGATCGGAGGGCTTGCCAACTCTCCAGGGGGCGCCCAAAGATCGAGGTACCCGCTTCCCAAGGTGGGGAAATCAGCCAGAGGGGTCTCACTGTCCCTCTAGGAAGGCGGTGTCAATTCAGTGAGTGGTGGCAGCATGTAACGGAGAGAAATAGCCCCGCCAGGCAGGGTAAAGGTTCCCTTGCTCGAAAGCCAGTCGAGTCCGACTCTAGGGTTGCGGTGCTCATCTCCGTTTCAAAGCTGAAGAGCCAGCGCTGTCTGAAGACATTTTCCGTGGTCATGTGGCCGGCATGACTAAACACCAAGGCGCACGGAACGCTGTTACCTTCCCACCGAAGTGGTACCTATTTATCTACTTGCAATTTCTTGCTTTCGAACTGCTAGGTTGGCAGGAGCTGGAACTAGAGACGGGAGCTCACTCCGTCATGTGGCACACTCGGGTCTCGAACTGCTGAACTACCGACCTTCCACAGCCTGCAGTTCAGTGTCTTAACCACTTGAGCCACCGCAGGCAGGGTGGGAGGGGGCAAAAGCAGGGCCTTGCAAGCCACAGGACGGCACCTCGGTCTCCCAGGGCTGAGGGCGGGTCCCCGTTTTGCCACACCATCCGTGAAAGGAGGCCGAGGCGGGCGGCAGCCCCTGAGAAGATGGCTTGATAGAGAAGAAGAAGGATGGAACCGAGAGAATCGAATTGGGGAACTGGCTAGCCCCGTGGCCGCTCTCCTCTGAAGCCCGGGAGGGAGGGAGGGAGGAGTGGTGGCAGGGCTGGGAGATTTAAGGGGGAGCAGGCCGGGGAGGAAGAACCCGGGACCTCTATGCCGAAGGGATACAGAGAGAGAGAGACAGAGGACCCTGCTAATAGGGGTCCGGGAAGGGAACGAGAGGATCCGAGTGAGTTAACCCCCTCCGTCGTGCTGGATGTCGTCTCCCAAAATCAAAAGCCCTGGAGCCAGCTCTTCCTCTTGTCATCCCAGGAGAGCCGATGAAACCTGGCACCCAGACTGTGCCGAATGCCTGCCCCCCCCCCTCCAGTGACACGATTGGGGTACAGTGGGGCAAAGGAGCGCTCTACAGTGGGGTGGAGATTCCGGAAGCCCGACCTGCTCCCACACCAGCGCAACTGGCTGAAGGCCCCCAATCCCTTAGGAACCGGAGAAGGGGCAGTTTAGACTCTCTTTAGGACATGAACGCACAAAGCTGCCTTCTCCCCAAATCAGGCCATTGGTCCCTTGACGTCAGTATCGTCTACTCAGACGGGCGGCGGCTCTCCGGGTTCTCAGGCCGGGGGTCTTTCACCTCGCCTACAACCAGACCCTTTAACAGGAGGTGTCAGGGGATTGAACCTGGGACCTTCTGCACGCCAAATGGTTACTCTAACAGCGAGCGATGGCTCAGAGCGGTGCTGTGTCAATGGAGCCAAATTCTGCCCCGTTGCTGTTTTTGAAGACACGTCTTCTTCCGCTCCATTGTGAGGAACGTAGGAGGAGCTAAGCAACCACCCTGGGTCAGTGGATGACTCCTTGCCGCCTCCTCTGGCTCCGGAGATTCTACCAGGCCTTGTGTGCATATTTGCAAGCCCCATTTTGCATCCTTAAGGACTAGAAACTTGACGATAATAACAACCAGGGGTCATTTCCTGCGGGAGCACACAGGAGCGGAGCTCCGGCAGTAAAGAGCCCAGGGGGCGGGCACATGCAACAAGCCCCGCCCCCTGCTCCCAGCAGCCTTCAGTCAGAGCAAGAAGCAGCCAGGTAAGTTGCAGAGCTCCCCTTGGCTTCCCAAGTCCAAAACAGTCCAGTGGCCAAGGTTTATTCAGGTACAAGCTCTCCCTCCTCTGCGAGGGCAGATCTGCATGTCAAACCCCCCCCCCCAATAGCTAGCAATTCCAAAACAGTCCAGTGGATCCTGAGTGGTGGGTGTTGCCTTCTGACACACTTCCGGTGATGTCATGGTATGTGGCATATGCAAATAAGTCATGCTAATGAGTTATGCTAATGAGCTCCTGCACCTCTTTTTCTACGAAATGACCCCTGATATCAACTTTTAAAGCAGAGAAGTTTACAGTGTGGAAGTCGGCACTCACTACCTGCATTGAGTTGCGACTGTAGAAATACAGGGTATATACGGCTCTCCTGGGATGACAAGAGGAAGAGCCGGCTTTGCTGGGAGGGCGGGGTAAAAATCTAATGAAATAAAATAAATTAATATAGAGAGCCCTGACCATCTCTCTGCCTTTCTTCTGCAGCTGTGTTTAAGGATACTGATAAGCTTTCTCTACAGGCTGTTCATGTTCTTATTAGGTTAAGATCAAAAGAAAATACTTCTTCACCCAAAGAGTAACACATGGAATTCACTGCCTAAAGAAGTGGTGGCAGCTACAAGCATAGACATAGACAAGGACTGAATAAACATACGGAGTAGAGGTCCATCAGTGGTTGTTAGCCACAAGGTACAGATGGAACACTCTGTCTAGGGCAGTGATGCTCTGTATTCTTGGTGCTTGGGGGGCAAGAGTGGGAGGGCAGCTGGAGTTCTGGCCCCGCTGGTGGACCTCCTGACGGCACCTGGGTTTTGGCCACTGTGTGACACAGAGTGTTGGACTGGATGGGCCATTGGCCTGATCCAGCATGGCTTCTCTTATGTTTGGGGCAAGTGATGCTCTGTATTCTTGGTGCTTGGGGGGCAAGAGTGGGAAGGCAGCTGGAGTACTGGTCCTGATGGTGGACCTTCTGATGGCACCTGGGTTTTGGCCACTGTGTGACACAGAGTGTGAGATAGAGTGTGTGTGACTGGATGCTAGACTGGATGGACCACTGGTCTGATCCAGCAGGGCTCTTATGTTCTTACGAGGGTTCTTCTCTTACGTTCTTGGTGCTTGGGGGGGGGCAACAGTGGGAGGGCTTCTGGAGTTCTGGTCCCGCTGGTGGACCTCCTGATGGCCCCTGGGTTTTGGCCAATGTGTGACACAGAGTGTTGGACTGGGTGGGCCACTGGCCTGATCCAACATGGCTTCTCTTATGTTCTTACGACCCTGAAATAAGCCACCCCTGCCAGAGCAGCACTTCAGATAACTGGCAAATCAGTTCCGATACGTACTTTTCGCGTCTCAGCTGGAGCAGCAGGCAGGAAAGCGCCTCGGGGTGTTCTGCAAAAGAAAGCGATGCTTGTTAAGCTCCGCTGACTTGCTAATCACTTAGAACAGCTGGATGCTGTTTCCCCCCGGCACGGGAGAAGGGGAGACAAGCCCTGGTCTCTCGGAGAAGGTGAGCCCACATCTGGACTGGACTGCTCCAGATGGGGCTCGCACGATGGAATGCTTACCAATATATTCTGAATCTCCTGGGGTATAGAATGTTAGGATGTCAGGGAGAAGGCTGGAATACTCCGTAACACACTAGCTTTTTACATACACAGAAGTCTGGTTTTCGCATTTGTATCTGAGGAGACTCTGAAGGGTGGGGGCGCTGAAGGATGGTTTTGTATTGGGGGGGGGCCTTCCATCACCTGAGCCCCCACCTGCAGTCTGAGGCGGCACAGTCCTGAAGCAGGTTTATGATCCCAGGGGGAACTGGGCCACCGTCTCCCTGACGTGTGATTCTGGGAGAGGGAGAAGAGACTGGGGGGGGGGACCAGCCTGCCTCGGCTTGGTCAGCCCAACCTGACAATGACATGGTGGTCCCCGTATTTGGCTGTCCTCGGCCAGAGCCGGGGCTTTTTCGGCCCTTGCTCCAGCCTGGTGGGGCTCTCCCCCGAATGAGATCCGGGTCCTGCGGGACTTGATGCAGTTTCCCAGGACCTGTAAGACGGAGATGTCCCGCCAGGCCTATGGTTGAGGGCAGCAATGGTTTCTTCATGGACTGACTTCCTTCCCTTAGAGAAGGGGCACCATGTTCACAGAACCATAGAATCATAGAGTTGGGAGGAACCTCCAGGGTCATCTAGTCCAACCCCCTGCACCATGCAGGAAATTCAAAACTACCCCCCCACACCCCCCCAGTGACTCCCTGCTCCATGACCAGAAGATGGCAAAAAACCTCCAGGATCCCCGGACAAACTGGCCTGGAGGAAAAGTGCTTCCTGACCCCAAAGTGGCGATCGGCATTTCCCTGGGCGTGTCAGAAGGGGCCACGAGAACCAAGCACTGAGGCAGCCCTTCCTCAGCCCTTCCCTCTCATGACCCGCCTAAGTTCACAGATCATGTTGTGATTCCCTTTTATGTGCCATCTTATTGCATCAGTATTACTGTAATGAGATGTTTTTAATAGTTTTAATTTAGTAATACTAATGTCACCTGCCAAGAGCCCTGTTGTACAGGGGAGGGTGGGCTATAGATCTAATAAAGAAGAAAATAAACCCTTCCCTTCCCCTTGCAAGCTGCAACCCCCCCCCGGGGGGGGGTTGGACGCAGGGCAAGCAGTGGAAGTGATATTGCGCAACACACTTAAGTCCCTTGTGGATGAAAACCCAGCTGTGACGCCAATGCACCAGGTGAAGCTCCGGAATTGCCCCACATTCTAGAGTAGTGCCTGATGTGCTGACGACAAGAAGAAGAGGAGATGGGATTTATACCCTGCCCTTCACTACCCAAAGGACTCTCAGAGCGGCTTCCAATCTCTTTTCCCTTCCCCTCCCCACAACAGACACCCTGTGAGGCAGGTGGGGCTGAGAGAGGTCTCAGAGAAGTGCTCTTGAGAAAACAGCTCTGAGAGAACTTGTGACTGACCCAAGGTCACTCCAGCAGCTGCATGTGGAGGAGTGGGGGAATCAAACTCGGTTCTCCCAGATTAGAGTCCGCCGTTCTTAACCACTACATCAAACTGGCTCTTAAGTTCCAGGTTTTCAACTGGAAGTTGCGGGGCAGGCAGGTGGGCGGGTCGAACCGCCAGCAGACCAGCAGTCAAGCCTGGCGCCAGTTGCTTGGTGCCCAGTCCCAGCTGGACCTCACCTTTGTACTTGAGATGCTGCAGGATGGAGATGATGCTCTCCAGGGGGATGTTATGCGCCAGGAACAGCTGCCACGTGCAGTACTGCTCAAACGTCTCCCAATCCAAGCTCTGAACTGGAGGAAGGAAAAAGCAAGGGTTGGTGTCACGGACGCTTTCGCGGAGGGCGCGAGCACCTTTCCAAAATGCAACGGAATCCTGACTATCCCAAGAACAGTGTCCTAAGCAGAGTGGAGCTCAGAACCAGTTCTGGACAGCGGCTCAGAGGTGGCGTTTGGGACCTGAGTGCGTTAGGTCCCGGGCTCACTCCCTCGTTCACTCACGGTTGACTTCTGGCGACCCCTAGTGGGGCTCGGCCGTTTCAGAGAGGGGGCTTGCCATTGCTTGCCTCTGCCTCCCAGCCCTGGTATTCCTTGGAATACCTCCTCCCAGCCCTGGTATTCCTCTGCCTCCCAGCCCTTCCTAGTACTTGGCAGGGTCGGCCCTGCTTGGCTTCCGAGATCTGGTGAGATCGGGCTTGCCTGGGCTGGGGCAACATTTGGATCTTTGTTTGTTTCACTGCTGAGAGGTGGAAGAACCGTGCCTCACAAGTATTCATGGATTTCGCCATGACCCCAAGAATGCTCCCTCTGAGCCGTGGAGTCCTGCGAGCAAAAATCCCACTTTGGGAGCTACTGGCATTAAAGTTGGGAGTGAGCCATTTGGCTGCCGCATAAACTAGTTTCCTTGGGAGCCATCCCTTCCTGAGCCAAGACAAAAATCTGTCAGCTAGAGGCTGAAAAACTGCGAGCTAGCTCACACTCAGCTTAGAGGGAACAGTGGTCCACTGTACTTTTATATACTGAGAGAGCTGTCGGTCTATCGAGCCTCAGACAGCCATGGCTATCTAGCGTACGACTGTCATGACTCATAGCTGAGGCTCTTCAACGCCTTAAAGTGTTGATCTCCTGAGCCCTCATACTAGAGCAGTGGTGGCGAACCTATGGCACGGGGGCCGGAGGTGGCACTCAGAGCCCTCTCTGTGGGCACGCGTGCCGTCGCCCCAGCCAGGCCCAGACCATCATTAAAGTGTCGAATTCTCTGCCAAATAATTTTAAGTCAATGAAAGCATTTGGGGTTGCTTCCCTTACTTTGTTTGGATCATCTTAATGTATGGGTTGTTTTTTCTAAAGTAAAACCTCAGTATTTGCCGTGTTGGCACTTTGCGATAAATAAGTGGGTTTTGGGTCGCAGTTTGGGCACTCGGCCTCTAAAAGGTTTGCCATCACTGGCCTAGAGGATCCTGTTACTTGAAGAGAGCCAGGGGATGAGCCTGGGAATCCTCTGCATGCAAAAGCTCTGTGCTCTGTGGCTGATTCCCGGAGCCCCTAGCTACCGCCAGGGACGCCGGCTTCTCAGTGTTCCCCTCATACTAGGCATTCTTCTCACAGGGCAAAATGCTCCCCAGACCTCTGTGGGCTGCTTCACGTCCCCTTGGCACCTTTTCCCTCTGTACAGGTAGCCGATGCTCCCTCAGAGCTCTGGAGTCTTGTGAGCAGAAGTCCTACTTTGTGAGCTCCTGGCATTAAAGTTGTGAGGGAGCGATTGGGCTGCTGCATCAATTAGTTTGCTCTGGAGCCAGCCTTCCGGAGCGGAGACAAAAATGGGCGAGCCGGAGGCTAAAAAACTGTGAGCTAGCTCACACTGACTCAGCTTAGAGGGAACACTGCAGGTAGCAGCCAGCAAAGACAGACTGGTTGAGAGTTCGGCACTCTGCAGGGGCCCCAGTGACCTCTTTTCCCCCAAGGCTCTTCCCTGCCCCCTGTCCTGGAAAGGAGGGCTGCCCCGAGGCGGCCTGCCGACTGTGCTCTACTCACTCAGAATATTCAGGACCGAGTCCTTCCGGAACATCATCAGGTTGCCCATCATCACGTGGCACACGAGCTCCTGGAGCTGCGGAAAGGGAGCAAGAGGAAGCGGGGGGGCTGAGTGAGGAGAACTTGCAGAAGAGAGCCAGGCTAGGGGTGGAGGGGGTCAGAAGGCACAGGAGGCCAAGAAAGATTTTGCCTTTGGTCCTTGTCAGGGAGGACCCCCACCCCCCACCCCGCTCAACTTGCATTGTTTTCCCAGGGCTATTTTTGGGCAGGAACGCACAGGAACGGAGTTCCGGCTGGCTCCCAAGTTGGTCACACCCAGCAGGAACTCATTAGCATAATAGGCCACACCCAACAGCAGGAATTCATTAGGATTGGCTACATTAGGGGTGTGTGGCCTAACATGCAAAGGAGTTCCTGCTACAAAAAAGGCCCTGGGTAAACAGAATAAGAAGCAAAAGGTGGATGTGGCTGGATGCGCACACTTCTGGGAACATGGGGGGGTGGCCTAATATGCCAATGAGTTGTGCTGTCAGGGGTGTGCCCTAATATGCTAATGAGTTCCCGCTGGGCTTTTTCTACCAAAAAGGCCCTGGTTTTCACCCTTATTCCTTCAGCCTTTCCTTTATTAACAATGAGCTCCATTGACCTGAGGTCTTGAGCTGAACGATACCATACATTTAAAACACGGAAACGTTTACAAACAATAAATTTTAAACACTGCATCAGCTATCCAGCTGTCCTCATTGCAGGGATTGGCCAATTAAAAAAATGTAATAACTAAATAGATAGGTAGCATCAAAAGGTATAAAACCCTTCGCGTTGTCGCATTAACTCACTGCAGAGGAGCGTCTTACGGACATCGTAAGAGACGAAGATTTGGCCAGAGCTTGTGCCCCCCCCCCCGGCGTTAACATCAGCCAACGGAAAAGAAACTGCCTGGGGTTGGGTGGCAGGATTAGATCTGCTCAGAATGGGCCAGATCCACAGTTCTCATCACGAGGACCGCTGATTGCAGGATAGCAAAGTGTGATCGGTGGTTTCGGTCATACTGGAGGCACAGGGACAAAGGCGATCAGGGAACGGGATGTTTACAAATCGCCCCCCTCAGTTCAGCGGCGGGCAAAGCCCTTCGGCCTGCAGAATGTAAAGCCACGGTGGTTGCTGGGAGCGATAACATGTTTTAAATGTGCAGGAGGAGTCTACACAGAGTGGGCCACAGATCTGGCCAGACCTCCGTGCTTTGCCACTGTCTCTGTTGCAAGCGAAACATGGTTAAGGGTCTCGGAGGGTCCCTGAAGCAGAATGCAGCGGGGGGGTGGGGTGGTTGAGCAGCGGAACAGACTGCCTCGGGAGGTGGTGGATGCTCCTTCGCTGGATGTTTTCAAGCGGAGGCTGGACTCTCAACCTTTCAGGTATGTTGCCGGGCTGTCTTCCTGCTGTACTCCTGCAGAGAGCAGGGGGCTGGACTGGATGACCTGCGAGGTCCCTTCCAGCTCTGACATTCTATGATTCTACGAAGGGCAGAGGAAACACAAAGGGAATTGAGCTGGGAACATCCAGAGCGTGGCAGGAGCCCAGTGAGGTGGGGCGTCACCAAACGTTTCCCACATGCGATACCATCGCGTTGCCCTCCTTGCCAAAGAAAACCAGCCTGAGAGATCCAGTTCTGCCAAGACCCATGTGGGAAAAACACAGAGGATGGGCAGCAAAACTTGACAGCTGAAGCCAGTGGGGATATATGGGGCGGGGGGAGGAGGAGGGGCTTATCAGGGAAACGATTGGTCTGCGGGCCTCTCCTGGCTCAGGAGCCGTTCTGTGTACGGCTGGGCTGGGCTGGCAAGCGTGCTGCCCGCGACGCCCCCCTCTTCCTCCCTGCCTCTCCGCTTTGGCTATTTTTGGGTTACTCCGCGCTGGTGCCATAGCAACTTATTAGCATTGGCACTGGCAGGCTGTTCTCCAAGTCTCAGGAGACTTTGCCCAGAGCTCCGCTCCGTGCAGGGCCTGGGCCCAAGTGCAAATGACACCCCACCCCAGGGGACTGGGCAGCTTCTTTCAATCTGGGAGGGGGTGGGTTGGCTGAGATTATTCTAGGGAAGGGCATTTGCCCCATGGTGAGAGGCTCTAGAGCAGGGGTGTCAAACATAAAGGCCCTGGGGCTGGATGTGGCCCATCCACGTCTCTTACCCGGCCCGCAAGCAACTGGCAGGAATAGAAATATAAGGCACTCCCTTCTTTTATCCCTTGGGGGATAAAAAACCTAGTCTTGGGTATGATTAAATACATTTGTTGGGGATTTTGCGGGTTCCCCAGTAAATCAATTGCTTGCACGGCTAGGAATCAATTGCTTTTGTTTGTATCTTGGGTAAAAAGTAATTGGGTTTGCCTGTGTCCTTTATAAATTTTATATCTCTGGTACCTGGCGTTATCTTTTATGGTACACACAGCCCGGTCCGACAAAGTGACATTCATGTCAGATGAAGAACAAGAAGAAGAGATTGGATTTATACCCTGCCTTCACTACCCAAAGGTGTCTCAGAGTGTTTTATAATCTCCTTTCCCTTCCCCTCCCCACGACAGACACCCTGTGAGGGAGGTGGGGCTGAGAGAGCTCTTGTCAGAAACGGCTCTTTTTTCAAGAACAGCTCTTATCAGAACTATGGCTTGCCCAAGGTGATCCAGCAGGTGCGAGTGGAGGAGTGGGGAATCAAACCCGGTTCTCCCAGATAAGAGTGTGCGCACTTAACCACTACACCAAACCACTACTGCGCACTTAACCACTACACCAAACTGGCTCTCAGATCCGGCCCTCGTGCACAGGAGCGGAGCTCCGGCAGTAAAGAGCCCACCAGGGGGCGGGCACATGCAACAAGCCCCACCCCCTGCTCCCAGCAGCCCTCAGTCAGAGCAAGAAGCAGCCAGGTAACTTGCAGAGCACCCCCCCGCCCCACCCCCCGGTCCAAAACAGTCTAGTGGAACCTTTAAGACCATGTTTTATTCAGGTACAAGCTCTCTCTCCTCTGCGAGGATCTGCATGTCCCCCCCCCCCAATAGCTAGCAATCCAAAATAGTCCAGTGGAGCCTGAGTGGTGGGTGTTGCCATCTGACACATTTCCGGTGATGTCAGGGGGTGTGGCATATGCAAATAAGTTATGCTAATGAGCTCCTCCACCGCTTTTTCTACGAAATGACCCCTGTGTCTTTGTATATAAACACTCTTTTGTACGCTTGCTTACGTTTTTAACTTTTGGCCCTCAATTAGTTTTCTAAACTTCCTTTGGAGGTTTGTGCTTTGTTGGTTTAGATTCCCCCCCCCCTTACACGCTGACCTGCACAGGGCAGGCGGATCAAGCTGGAAATACACCCCCTACCCCCAGCCCCAGATGGGATAGTTGCTGTACACTCTGAGACCAGCCAAACGGATCCCGCCCCTCCCTTCCGCGCGCACATCTTACCTGAGCCGAGTCAATGACCGCCACGATCATGTTCAACAGCTCCCCGCTCCGCAAGGTCTCGTCTGGAAACTGAGAGCGGGGAGGGACAAGGATAAGAATCCGGCGGAAGAGGCACGCGGTCTCACTGAACTAAGGGCATCGCCGCTTCCCCTCTCCCTCCCCTATTTTGTTTCCCTATTATTTATTTAATTAATTTATATCCTGCCCCCCCCCCACCATAGGGTGGGCTCAGGGCGGCTAACAACATATATATCAATGTATACATTGGAACTCCATGGTACGCATCAATAAGATCAGTTACAATCTCTCCTTTATATATAATTGAATAGTGGGTGCCAAAGTTCTAATTCTAAAAGGCACTCCCTTAGTGTATGGCTGATGGCACTGCTCCTCAGCATATATCGCCACCAATCAGAAGGCAAAGCCCGGGTCCCGCCCACACCACAACTGCTGCAACAACCTGGTCTTTTGCATATGGAAGCTGATTGGACTTCACTCCATTCCACACCTCAAACTCCCCCCCCCCCGCAAGGCAGTTGGAATGTCAGTTGCATATGGAACCTGCTGTATTCTGGTGGTGTGCAGGTCCCAGATTCATGTTTTAAAAGCAGACTGACACTGTTTACCCAAAGCCAGAGCACTCTCCCAGAGCCTCTTTCTAGCTCCCGTTGTATTTATTTCCACAACGGGCCTTATTTCTAGTTACAATATAAAACACGGCAGCTCAGCACATGCTGTAATAAAAGATGGCGACGTTCTATCATTGTTGAGTGGCCGCCTACATCCAGAAGAGGGCAACCAGGATGGAATCCAAGTCTTACGAGGAAAGGCTGAAAGAGTTGGGTGTGTTTATCCTGGGAAAGAGAAAGCTTAGAGGGGACACGATCGCCGTCTTCAAGTATCGGAAGGGCTGTCATGTAGAAGATGGAGCAGATCTATTCTCTCTTGCTCCGGATCGCAAGACTAGATCTAATGGGTGGAAATTACAAGGGAGTCGATACCGGCTAAATATCAGGAGAGACTTCCTAACTGTAAGAGTGGTTGAGCAGTGGAACAGTCTGCCTCGGGAGGTGGTGGATGCTCCTTCGCTGGACGTTTTCAAGCGGAGGCTGGACGACCATCTTTCGGGTATATTGTAGGTATGTAGGGCTATCTTCCGGCTATGCTCCTGCAGAGTGCTGGGGGTTGGACTAGATGACCTGCAAGGTCCCTCTGACATTCTATGATTCTATGAATCCAGGCTCCTGCCAGCCTGTTGGCTGCCCAATCGATGGTGGTGTTGAGTGTAAGGGCCAGGGCAGTGATGGTAAGGCGGCCCCTAACTGAAAGCCTGGCAGAAGAGCTCCGTTTTACAGGCCCTGCGGAACTGCGTGAGGTCCCGCGGGGTTCTGATGTCATCCGGGAGCTCGTTCCAGCAGTGAGGGGCCGCCACAGAAAAGGCCCTGGCTCTTGTTGTGGCCAGCCTGGCCTCTTTAGGGCCCAGGAGAACCAGGCGGTTTTGGGATCCCGATCTTAGTGCTCTCTGGGGCACGTGTGGAGAAAGGCAGTCCCTTAGGTAAGCTATGTCTTATGAAATGTTCTATAAAATGTAAGCATATGACGATGTTTTATCCTGGACAAATCGCAGGACTGTCTAGCTCGGTAACATCTTTTCCGATGGACAGCGACTCTCTAGGACCTCAAGCAGAGATTTGAAAGCCTTCTGGAGGAGTCCCCTCTCTCGACTTGGGCTGTGGCTCAGTGGCAGAGCATCTGCTTGGCAAGCAGAAGGTCCCGGGATCAATCCCCGGCACTTCCAGTGAAAGCGATTAGGTAGGAGGCACTGTTCCCTCTGAGCTGAGTTAGTGTGAGGTAGCTCACAGTTTTTTTTTAGCTTCCGGCTCACACATTTTTGTCTCAGCTCGGGAAGGATGGCTCCAGAGCAAACTAATTTATACAGGAGCCAAATCACCTGCTCACAACTTTAATGCCAGTAGCTCACAAAGTAGAATTTTTGCTCACAGGACTCCACAGCTTAGAGGGAGCATTGGTAGGAGGGGAAGTGAAAGAACTCTGCCCAAGCCCCTGGAGAGCAGCTGCCGGTCTGAGTAGACAATACTGACTTTGCTGGACCTAGGGTCTGATTTAGCATAAAGGAGCTTCATGTGCTGTCTGGAGCAAGTGATGCTCTGTCTTCATGGCGCTTGGGGGGGCCACATCTGAGGGCTTCTGGAGCTCTGGCCACAAAGGTGGATCTCCTGGTGGTGCCTGGGTTTGCTCACTGTGTGACACCGAGTGTTGGACTGGATGAGCCACTGGTCTGATCCAACATGGTCTCGCTTATGTTCTTAAGACCAACGAAGCGTTGGCTGTCTGTCTACCGATCAAAGAAGAAGAAGAAGAGATTGGATTTATACCCCGCCCTTCATTACCCAAAGGAGTCTCAGAGCAGCTTACAATTTCCTTTCCCTTCCCCTCCCCACAACAGACACTCTGGGAGGGAGGTGGGGCTGAGAGAGCTCTGACAGAAACTGCTCTTTTTCAAGAACAGCTCTTATCAGAACTACGGCTTGTCTAAGGTCATCCAGCCAAGTGCAAGTGGAGGAGTGGGGAATCAAACCCGGTTTTCCCAGATTAGAGGCCGCGCACTGAACCACTACATGGAACTGGCTCTCTCAAAGAAGAAGAAGAAGAAGAAGAAGAGATTGGATTTATACCCCGCCCTTCAGTTGGAGTCTCAGAGCGGCTTACAAACTCCTTTCCCTTCCCCTCCCCACAACAGACACCCTGTGAGGTAGGTGGGGCTGAGAGAGCTCTGACACAAACTGCTCTTTTTCAAGGACAGCTGTGCCAGAGCTTGGGACTGACCCAAGGTCACATCAGCAGGTGCAAGTGGAGGAGTGGGGAATCAAACCCGGTTCTCCCAGATTAGAGTCCGCACACTTAACCACTACACCAAACTGGCCTGTCATCCACCCGCCATGCAAAGTCAATACCCCTCCTCAGTGGGACTGCTGCCTTCCTACAGTGAATACTGAGACAGCGTTTAAGCTGGGTTAATTTCCTCCAACGGCTGCCAGTGCCCTGAAGCCACCAGTAACAGCCAGGGAGATCCTGGCAGCCTCTCCGATTCCTGATCAGCCACGTGCTGCTCAGACGAAAACGGCAAAACTGGACGCGGCGTTTCTGGCGGCGCTCGAGCCGAAGCGTAGGAAAGCCGTCAGCCAAAAGGATAAACGCCAAATGGATCATCAGTAGTTATGGAGACTTCTCAAAGGAATGATTTATATCAGAAACCTCTCGTTCGTGTTATCAATCGCCAGCTGCTTTGAGCCTCTCCGAGGGAAAAAAGAGCTGCACGGGTCTTGCAGATGAAATGAACGGTAGAAGTCGAAGCTTTTTTTGTTGCATAATTTATCCTGCTGCGATACAAACCAACCCGCCCAATCGGTAAGGTCCACAGACCAAAACCAAAATCATATACATACAGACGCTGAACTTCCCGTTTTTGAGATACCACTAGGGATTGCCACAATAGATCGATGCTGCATGGAATGGTTAACGGCGAAAAAACGTTTGGTAGAAAAGCTAGCTTGCCCCATTTCTCACGGGCCGAGTCAAGAACGCGCCCCCCCCCGGGCGTGCCCCTTTTGAGCAGCAGGGGGCGCAACAGCCTGAGCATAGCTGGCAAAAGAGATGGATGGCGCAGAATGAGCTAGGGCAGTCCAGGGCAGAGAAACCGGAAGCCAAAACCAATTTGCTTGTTAGCTTGTTTGGTGCGGGTGTTTTTTTTTTGCTGTCGAACATGCATAAAAGCCTGACGCCTGCCACTCTGTTCAAAATTAGAACAGAGGCAAAAGCCAAGCAAGTAAAATAAAATAAGATTAAGGCTTGGCAAGGAACCCCTGTTCTGTATGGAAGACATTACTCTTCGCGCGCCAAGGACATGACCAGGCGGGATATTTTTGTAAAACGGCTCTGGCTGGAACGGGCAAGAAGGGCTGGCTGGAAAGGACTGAGGCAGCGGAGCTCAGCTTCAGGGCAGGGCCCAAATGAAGGCTAAGAATATAAGAGCATACGAAGAGCCCTGCTGGGTGAGACCAGTGAGGGCCCATCTAGCCCAGCATCCTGCCTCACACAGTGGCCTCAGCCAGTTCCTCTGGAAGACCCAACAACAGGGCAGAGAGGCCGAGGCCTTCCCCTCATAAGGACATCAGAATAGCCCTGCTGGATCAGACCAGTGAAGGTCCATCTAGTCCAGCATCCTGTCTCACACAGTGGCCTCAACCAGTTCCTCTGGAGGGCCAACAACAGGGCATAGAGGCCAAGGCCTTCCCCTCATAAGAACACCAGAACAGCCCTGCTGGGTCAGACCAGTGAGGGTCCATCTAGTCCCGCATCCTGTCTCACACAGTGGCCTCAACCAGTTCCTCTGGAGGGCCAGCAACAGGGCAGAGGGGCCGAGGCCTTCCCCTCAGAAGAACATCAGAAGAGCCCTGCTGGGTCAGACCAGTGAGGATCCGTCTAGTCCCGCATCCTGCCTCACACAGTGGCCTCAACCAGTTCCTCTGGAGGGCCAGCAACAGGGCAGAGGGGCCGAGGCCTTCCCCTCACAAGAACATCAGAAGAGCCCTGCTGGGTCAGACCAGTGAGGGTCCGTCTAGTCCCGCATCCTGCCTCACACAGTGGCCTCAACCAGTTCCTCTGGATGTTTGGCAACGGGGCATAGAGGCCATCATGCCAAGCAGATATTCTACATGCCAAGCAGAGTGACGAGGATGATCGGGGGCCTGGAGACCAAGAAGCCCTGGGAGGAAAGACTTAGGGAATTGGGAATGTTCAGTCTGGAGAAGAGGAGGCTGAGGTGGGGACATGAGGGCTCTCTCTAAGTCTTTGAAGGGCTGTCACTTAGAGGAGGGTGGGGACCTGTTTCTGTAGGCAGTAGAGTGCAGGCCTCGTAATCATGGGTTTAAATTAAGGGCGGGATCTTAGGCTGGATCTTAGGGAAAACTTTTTTACAGTAAGAATAGTTCAGCAGTGGAATGGGCTGCCTAGGGAGGTGGTGAGCTCCCCCTCCCTGGCAGTCTTGAAGCAGGGTCTGGACAAACCCTTGTCAGGGACGCTCTAGGCTGATCCTGCACTGAGCAGGGGGGTTGGACTAGATGGCTTCTATGGCCCCTTCCAGCTCTGTGATTCTAGGCCTCTACCACTATGCCACGGCCCCTCTCTGTAATAAGCTACCTCCCTTTCTGACTGTTGCTACCATCCCAGGCTTGCTGGATCAGGCTTCAGTGGACTATTGCAACCTTTGGCGAATCAGCGAATTAAGAGATCAGAGACAAGCTCCCATGATGGGCTGGCGGTTGTACGGGCAGCGCTGCGTCTTGCACCAAGCTAAGTGCCGCGACAGCCAAGCTTTGCTAAACGGGAGGAGCATGGTTGGGCAAGGCCTCCCTGCGAAGAGACTCGCCCCCTTGGCCGGCCTGACCCTCGGGAGTGACGGAATCAGCACAGGCCGCTCTCCTCCCGGTCCTCGCCAGGTCCAGGGATGGAGCCGGGCCCGGCAGCCGTTATGCTGCGGCTCATTGAGAATGTGAGGATACGGGCCAAGCTCCTGGGAGAGGAAGCGAAGGGGTGGCCTCAAAGGAGAGACCCCGATCCCCACGCCAGAGACAGGAAGTAGCCAGTGCTGCCCAGTTTGAATCAGAAGCCCCTGGAGAGCACGTGCCAGCCAAGTGCCTCCCCCCCCCCCCCCCGGCAAACTCGCCAGCTGGCCGACAAACCACTCCTCTGCCGGCTGCCAAATCGATTCTAGCGAGTGAACGAGCACAGAGGCGGGGACGCGGTCATGGCAGAAGGGAAACACAGCGGGGAAGTCTGCCCGCTAGTACTGATTTTATTGGGTTTCCAACCCCAAACTCTAAAAGAGGCTTCCGGCAACTGAGAGATAAATTAAAATTTAGAAGATGCCTACGGAGGGGCTGGGGAATGGCGTGATGGAGAGGCCCCTGCCTGCTGATGGGCGATGACTGCCATGGGGGGGGGGGGGCCTCGTGGGGGGGTCGGGGGGTGGAGACAGAGAAGGATTCTCTGCCTCCAAGAGGAATAATCCCCTTTTGGACAGGGATGTCAAATGTGGCTTAGGATGCCCAAAAGGGCATTTAAAAAGTAAAGGTTCCCTTGCTCGAAAGCCAGTCGAGTCCGACTCTAGGGTTGCGGTGCTCATCTCCGTTTCAAAGCCGAAGAGCCAGCGCTGTCCGAAGACGTTTCCGTGGTCATGTGGCCGGCATGACTAAACACCAAGGCGAACGGAACGCTGTCACCTTCCCACCGAAGTGGTCCCTATTTATCTACTTGCAATTTCTTGCTTTCGAACTGCTAGGTTGGCAGGAGCTGGAACTAGAGATGGGAGCTCACTCCGTCATGCGGCACGCTCGGGTCTCGAACTGCTGAACTACTGACCTTCCACAGCCTGCAGTTCAGCGTCTTAACCACTTGAGCCACCACAGCTCCAACAGGGCATTTAGGGCCCCCCAAAATATGGCTTATTAGTATTAGTATTATTCAGATTTATTAGTCGCCTTTCTACCTTGCGGAACTCAGGCTGCCTTACAATGTAAACAAAACAACAATGATAAAAAATTGCATAGAAGACTGTGATTTAAAATCAGAGTTAGAACCCCTGATATATAAAAAACTCAATTAGTCAGATGTAGTCAATTGGCTCCTACAGATTGAAAGTGTGGGGGTCAGGTGTACCTCCCCGGGGATGTTATTCTATAACAGGGGTGGCCAAACTGTGGCTCGGGAGCCACATGCGGCTCTTTCACACATATTGTGCGGCTCCTGGCAGGGCAGCTGGGGAAGCAAAGGGGGGTTATACTTTTTCTCCCTCCCTCCCTCCCATTTATTTGCTTTCTTTGTTTCTCTCTCTCTCTCTTTCCTCCCTTTCTTTCCACCTCTATCATTCTTTCTTTCCACCTCTCTCTTTCTCTCTCCCTCTTAGACAAGTAAATATCATTAGCAAACAAATAAATATCATTGTACAAACAAATATCATTATCAATATCTGTTTTGGCCCCCTTTGGTTTTTATTTTTTGGCAGTCACATTTAATGTTAATAAAAAGCAAATTTGCGTCTATATTTTTAATAAAAATGTGTAATATCTGTTCATGTCTTGCGGCTCTCAGACATCTGACGTTTCTTCTGTGCGGCTCTTACGCTGAGCAGGTTTGGCCACCCTCCAGCCGCACCGGAGAGAACTGGAAGAAGTCGCCCACTTGCCGGATAAATGAACGATCGGAGCTGGGAGGGTACCTGGTAGGGCTTCCCCCACCCCAGATGTACTGTGGCCATAGTTAGGGTTTCTGGATAGGTCTCTGCACCATGCACCGTGTAAGTCGCTCAGAGCCCTTCGGGGGTGAGCGGGGTACAAAATGAAAGTATAAATAAATAAATAAGTAATCATGGGGCTGCCTCCGAAAAGGCCCTTCTCTTGTGTGATGACCTCTGATTCATGGGACAGTCGGGAGAGCCTCTTCCTGTGATCTTGATTTCCGGGCAGGCCTCCGGAAAACTTGCTAATATTTTTTACAACTGAGTCATGGCCAAGTGTTACTTCTTTGCTGGGCCTCTCTCACCTGGGGTAGGTGGATGGGGGATAAAAATACTGTCCTACCTAAGAACATAAGAGAAGTCATATTGGAGCATGCCAATGGCTCATCCCATCCAACACTCTGTGTCACACAGTGGCCAAAAACCAGGTGCCATCAGGAGGTCCAGCAGCGGGGCCAGAACTCCAGAAGCCCTCCCACTCTTGCCCCCCCCCCAAGCACCAAGAATACAGAGCATCACTTGCCCCAGACATACCGTTCCATCTATACCTTACGGCTAATAGCTACTGATGGACCTCTGCTCCATTTTTATCCAGTCCCCTCTTGAAGCTGTCCATGCTTGTAGCTGCCACCACTACTTCCTGTGGCTGTGAATTCCACATTAATTATTCTCTGGCAGAAGAAGGACTTCCTTTGATCTGTTCTAACCTGACTGCTCATTCATTTCATGAGCTCTTATATTGTGAGGAAGGGAGAAAAGTACTTCTTTCTCTACCTTCTCTATCCCACACATGATTTGGGAGCCAGTTTGGTGTAGTGGTTAGTGTGCAGCCTCTAATCTGGGAGAACCGGGTTTGATTCCCCACTCCTCCACTTGCACCTGGCTGGATGACCTTGGGTGAGCCGTAGCTCTGATAAGAGCTGTTCTTGAAAAAGAGACGTTTCTGTCAAGAGCTCTCTCAGCCCCACCTGCCTCACAGCAAGGGTGTCTGTTGTGGGGAGGGGGAAGGGAAAGGAGTTTGTAAGCCGCTCTGAGACTCCTTTGGGTAGTGAAGGGCGGGGTATAAATCCAATCTCTTCTTCTCTTCTTCTTCTTCAAGAGCAGTTTCTGTCAAGAGCTCTCTCAGCCCCACCTCCCTCACAGGGTGTCTGTTGTGGGGAGGGGAAGGGAAAGGAGTTTGTAAGCCGCTCTGAGACACCTTTGGGTAGTGAAGGGCGGGGTATAAATCCAATCTCCTCTCTTCTTCTTCTTCTTCTTTTGTAAACCACTGTCATGTCACCCCTCAGTTGTCGTTTCTCCAAGCCAAAAAGCCCTCACCTCTTTAGCCTTTCTTCGTAGGGAAGCTGTTCTATCCCCCCTTCATAATTTTGGTTAACCTCTTCTGCACCTTGTACAATGCCATGATATCTTTTTTGAAGTGCGGTGACCAGAACTGTCTCACCTAGCAGGATCGTTGTGGCGACTGACAAAACTCAGCTACGGAAGCCCTTTGAATAATCCCCAGTGTCACAAAAATGCCAATATTCTAACCCTGTGGTGTTTTTCGGCCATGTTAAGCGGAGGCCTTCTAGGGTGGAAGGCAGCTCTGGCCGCCCTCTCGCTCAGGATCCCCCCCCCTCAAAGCCCCCCTGACACCCCCCCCCAGTCCTCACCTCAGTGTAGATGGAAGGCGTGAGGTAGCAGAGCAGCCGGACGTCATCCTCCTGGCAGGCCTTCATGTCCATCATCAGGCAGGTGTGCAGGTCGCCCAGCTGGGTGGCCTGGGCAAACGACTCGTACAGATTCATCTTCCCGGCCGCGGCTTTGCTGTGGAACAGCACGAGGCCCGGTCAGCCGGCGGAAGAGCCCGTCTCTCCCAACGGACGACCCAGGCACCCGAGGCAACGGCACGCTCGCCAGCTGTTATCTGTTTGCGGTATGCATTGACTGACTATAATTACTTGGGGTGCTCGTTCTGCCACAAGTGGGCACGCGGGCTTTGGGTGGCGCCTGGCCCTCGGTTTGCCCGTTTGAGCGCAACGAGGCTGAGGGCCTTTTCCATCGTGGCCCCGACCAGTGTTCCCTCTAAGCTGAGTTAGTGCGAGCTAGCTCACAGTTTTTTTTTAGCCTCCGGCTCACACGTTGTTTCCTTAGCTCAGGAAGGAGGGCTCCAGAGGAAACTGATTTATGCAGCAGCCAGATTGCTCGCTCACAACTTTCATGCCAGTGGCTCACAAAGTAAAATTTTTGCTCACAGGACTCTACCACTTAAGGGAAGCATTGGCCCCGACTTGGTGGAATGCTCTGCCTGGGGAAACTCACGCCCTGCAGGACCTGTTGCATCCCACAGGGCACGTAAGACGAGAGTTATTCCGCCAGACGTCCCGCTGATGTAATATTGGCGGGACTCAACCCTCAACGCTGTTGATTTTTTAAAATCACAGATGTGCCACGTTTGCTGTCTCCAACGTTCCCTCTAAGCTGAGTGAGTGTGAGCTAGCTCACAGTTTTGTGGCCTCCGGCTCACACATTTCTGTCTCGGCTCAGGAAGGAGGGCTTCGGAGCAAACTCATTGATGCAGTAGCCAAATCGCTGACTCACAGCTTTCATGCCGGTCACTCACAAAGTCGAACTTTTGGTCACGAGACTCCACGGCTTAGAGGGAGCCTTAGCTGTGTCCTGAGCTTTTAACTGGGTTTTATTGAAATCACGGCTTCATTACTGCGATTGTTACTGTAGTGTTATGTGAATAGCCGCCCCGAGGCCCCATTCTGGGGAGGGGTGAGATAAACTCTAATAAATACACACTCACATAATACCAATTTTCATGCGTTGAATCTGCACTCGACTCAGATCTAATATTCTATAGCTTGTTTCAGATTTCTGAAGCCCTAGTCCTGGCACCCTTCTGATTGGAGGTCTCGTCCTATTGACGTCATCAACTTACACAGTGTAGATTCAGGTGGGGTCGCCGTGTTGGTCTGAAGCAGCCGAACAAAGTTTGGGTCCAGTGGCACCTTGAAGACCCGCAAAGTTTATTCTGGGTGTAAGCTTTCGTGTGTAGGCACGCTTCTCCAGTGCGTTCACACTTTTTTTTGTGCACACACAGAAAAGCTTATGCCCAGGGTAAAACTTTGTTGATCTTAAAAGGTGCAACTGGACTCAAAACTTTGTCACACTGTGTAGGCTGCCTTGAGGTTCAGTGGGAAAGGTGGACGGCAGATATAGTAAACAAACACATAAATAGTGGGCATCGCCGTATAACGTGACAATGACTGGCCAGATTCCAGCATCTGCACGCATCTGGCCAACTTCTTAGTCCCAGAAAGGTCATCATATTCCCTGCTGTGTAGCAAACTCCCATATTATTATTTAAAAATTTTGAGTGGCTTATTCCTTGGCCACCTGCTCTCACCTGGCTTTTAAGTAGTAGAGGAGGTGGTAGCCGATTTTGGGCTGCTTCTGATAGAGCTCAGACAAAAGATCCAGCAGGACAGAAAAGCTGCTGTTGTCTTCCTGCATCTGGCAGAGGTTCCTGAAAGGGGAGGGGGGAAGGAGAAGGGAGAAAAAGAAGAGACTGAAGCCACCTTGGCTTAGGGTCAGACCTACTGCTCCAGTGGAGGGCGTGGTGCTTCTGGCCTAGGTTAAGCGTTTGGAGGGAGCTGCCCTTGGCGCATGAGCTTGGGGTTTCAAACCCCTACCCCCCCCGGCACACACAGGTTGCACCACCTAGAAACTTCCCCTTGCGAGAGTCCTTCTAAACCAGGGGTAGCCAAACTGCTCCTGTAAAGCAGAGCAGAGATGTTTGCTGGACTGAGAACTGTCAAGACAGCTTTCCAGTGGGAATATTGTATTTTGGCAAAATTGACCAATAAATTATTTCAATCAGGTAGAGAAAGAGGTACTTTTCTCCCTTTCTCACAATACAAGAACTCGTGGGCACTCCATAAAATTGCTGAGCGGTCGGGTTAGAACAGATAAAAGGAAGTCCTTCTTCACCCAAAGAGTGATTAATACATGGAATCCACTGCCACAGGAAGTGGTGGCGGCTACAAGCATGGACGGCTTCAAAAGGGAATTAGATAAGCATATGGAGCAGAGGTCCATCAGTGGCTATTAGCCACAAGGTATAGATAGGGGCTTTGGGGCAAGTGATGCTCTGTCTTCTTGGTGCTTGGGGGGGGGTCAACAGTGGGATGGCTTCTAATGTCCTGGCCCCACTGGTGAACCTCCTGATGGCACTGGTATTTCTGGCCACTGTATGATACAGAGTGTTGGGCTGGATGGGCATTTGGCCTGATCCAACATTGGCGTTTCTTATGTTCTTATGGTCTTAATCTGGAGGGGTTAGCTGCATTAGTCCGTTGCTGCAAAACAGTAAAATAACCAGTAGCACCTTTAAGGCTAACAAACTTTATTGCAGCATAAGCTTTCGAGAAACACAGCTCTCTCTGTCAGATGCATCTGATAAAGAGAGCTGTGTTTCTCAAAAGCTTATGCTACAATAAAGTTTGCTAGTCTTAAAGGTGCTATTTGTCTTATTTTTTGTTTCAATCTGAACATCATTTAAGTCATTCTAATTTTGTAACCATTTGGTTCCCCATTCTAGAATATTTGGTTCAACAAGAAGTTAAAGACCTTCAGTTATGGCAAATGAAATTGCTTCTGTGGTATGTAGTAGTTATATTATTAAATTTTTGAATTATAGTCCTTTGAACTTGAAGGAAAAATTGTGAAAAATTGGTAAAGTTAATAAACTGCAATGTTATAACATGCCCACCAAGTACTGTATATTTTTTTTGTTTCTTCTGGTTGTTGTTGAATAAAGTTAAAGATTGTTTAGGAAAAAAAGATGGCTTTCAGAGGGGTGGAAGGACCTGGCTGGATGACCTTGGGCAAGCCGTAGCTCTGATAAGAGCTGTTCTTGAAAAAGAGCAGTTTCTGTCAGAGCTCTCTCAGCCCCACCTGCCTCACAGCAAGGGTGTCTGTTGTGGGGAGGGGAAGGGAAAGGAGTTTGTAAGCCGCTCTGAGACTCCTTCGGGTAGTGAAAGGCGGGGGATAAATCCAAACTCTTTTTCTTCTTCCTTCCTCTGGCTCTCTTGGGGGGCGGGGGGAGAATATCCCAGCGCCTGAACTTACTTACTTACTGCCTAGCTGGTGGGAAGAAAGAACTGCAAGGCCAGGGTTAAATATGTATATTTACAATCTATGGTTTGCCAGAACATTTGGAGGCTTAAACTTGACTTAGGACAAACCCGGGTTTGGTGTGACATTGGAACTGAGTCAAAGGGGGATCGGGGCCCTTCGCTCCTCAGGCTGGGCAGCTGGCTCCACTGTGGAGCTTTGGATATAGGCAGGAAGGCACAAGACTTACCTAAATATTAGGTAAAGCGGCTTCCCCACGGATTCCTCCAGAGACCTGCAGGGAAGTAAAACAGCCAGAGGCAACAAAATCACGCTTGGGACCACAACCCAGAGAGCAAAAACTCAGCAAAGCGACGAGAAAGATTGTGCAAATGTAACACAGGCAAAGTCAATGCATTTCAACCTTTTTAACGCCTTCAGGTCAAACTTTCCACATGGGCTTGTCTCCCATACAAACTGTGCCCTTGCAATGGCTTCCAGGGCACGTTTGGGGTAACACAACGGCTTTTATGCCTAGCCCTCATTGAGGCAATCAACCGGTGTCTGAACCGCACCATTTTAGAATGTTGTGGGAAGGGAAAAGGGGAAGGGACGATCACACACAAAAAAGGTCTTCTGTGCATGCGGAAATCTAGCACGTCAAAGAAGACAGGGCAAAGGATGAGATGGTTAGACAGTGTCATAGATGCAACGAACATGAAATTGAACCAACTTCAGAGGACGGCAGAAGATGGGAGGCCTGGCATGATTTGGTCCATGGGGTCGTGAAGAGTCGGACTCAACTGTGCGACTGAACAACAACATGGAGCAGAGGTCCATCAGTGGCTATGAGCCACAAGGTCTAGATAGGGACTCTTGGTCTGGGGCCAGTGATGTTCTGTATTCTTGGTGCTTGGGGGGGGGGGGGCAACAGTGGGAAGGCTCCTAGTGTCCTGGCCCCACTGCTGGAGCTCCTGATGGCACCGGGTATTTTTGGCCACTGTGTGACCCAGAGTGTTGGACTGGATGGGCCATTGGCCTGATCCAACACTGGCTTCTCTTATGTTCTTATGTTTTTAAGTGTGCATGCACCGGAAAGCTTATACCCAGAATTAAGCCTGTTGGTCTTAAAGATACCACTGGACCCCAACTTTGTTCTCTAAGTGACTGTGTGAGCTGTCTGAAGTGATACAGGCCAGACGTAGGCTGACTGCCCCAATGAGAACCAGGGCCTAGGACAGATGCTATTGAACCTCTCCACCTGGGAGACGCCTTTAACGCCCGGGTAGTAGCCTGGGATGAATTGAGCTGCAAATACCTCTCAGGAAGTCACCCAACAGGAAGAGGAGGAGCCAGAGGTACGGCCTCGCTGGCGGGGGGAGGCCTTCCGTCCTGCAAACTCTCACGGAGCACTGGAGGACAGGGGCAGGGAGCAGCAAGGGAAAGGAGGAGACCTTTCGTGGGGTGGGGTGGAAGTGAAGAACGGCCTCTGTGCTTACAAGAAGGATCCGCTCCGCTGCTAAGTGACCTCAACTCAGTCTGTGTGCAAAGGGTGAAAACGCATGGCATCTGTGCTCTTCTCCACAACCCAGCTGAGGGTCTGGGCTTTGGGACCGAAGCCCACTGCCCTAGCGGACACCGGCAAGAGACTCAGCCCTTGCTGCTGTTGTGATGGCTGATAATTAGGATCTCTGATCGACTGTACTCTGAAGGACACTCCCCCCCCCACCAGGGTACAGAGATCAGCGATATAAGAGAATGGCGAGCGGGAATGACCAGAGAGGCTCCTTACTCTTCGGTGATCTCTTCTGGTAGTACCTCCCCGCGGAAGTGAGCCTTGAAGAGTTCCTGCAGACAGGACGCGAGGACCGACAGCTGCTCCTGGTCAAAATCCTCCTGCAGAAGATGGGAGTGAGACATGGAGGGGGTTCATGCTCTGCGGGAGGGCTGACGGCTCCCGGGTGGCACAGAGCCTGGAGCCTCTGCAAAACTCACCTCCCTCCCCTTGGGAACAGCACTGATTTACGCAGGACCCTGCCCACCGATTGAGAAGGAAGAGGGCACCCGCGAAAGCCGTGTTGAGCCGTGGGTGCAGCGGTTTCCGCGTAAACAAAGCCGTGGCACTCAGAGGATGGGTTGGGGGGGGGTGGACGTCAGGAGCTGCAGACATGCTTTTAAGGCCTGTTATCTGTTGAACGGGGCCTGTTCGGTGTTGGCACCGAGTTTTTGTAACACCTAACACAAAGGCCTCCCTTGGAGTCCAGGTAGGGTCGCCTGGTGGGAGCAGAGAATTCCTTAATTTAGCGGGCTCCTGCCTGCTGCCGGCTAGCTGGCCGGGAGAAGGGAACACACACAGAAACGTTGCATGCAACACGCCTGCGTCACCCAGAAGTAACGTCAGCGACATCGGTGGTGTGTGTGTGTTTGCTTTTGGGCAAAACTCTATGGTTTGATACCGATTTTACCATAGAGTTTAGCCGAAAATCCAGAGCATTGCTCCCTGTGCGTTGTCGTCACTTCTGGGTGATGCAGGCATGTAGGGTGCAACATCACTGTTTTGGGGTGGGTGGGGGCGACATCCCTCTCCACTCCCGGAACATCTCCCCCCCCCACCCCAAATCCCCTGCTGGTGGGCGAAAAGGACCTGGCGACCCTCTGTCCATGTGATTATTGCTCTAGCTCCAGGCAAGGCCCATTCTTTCTAGCTGAATGGTCCTTTAAAGCACACTCTGGTTGACGTTTTGCAGCCGCTTCCAAACTTGGTGTTTTGTTTTTTAAGTTTCGGGTGTGTAGCCCTGTCAGTCTGCCGCAGACAAGCAAGACTCGAGTACCACAGCCCTTTAAAGACCAACAAGGTTTCCAGGGAATATTTTGTTGATTTTTTAAGGTGCTGCAGGACTCCAACCTTGCTGTACTTTGGTTTTTTTGGTGTGTGTCTGCTATGGCTTTGTAACTTACTGATTTGTTTTGGGGATTTGCATTAGCAAGCCGCTATGAAGACTGGCAGCAGGAAAGAAGAGGAGGAGACTGGATTTATACTTCACTACCCGAAGGAGTCTCAGAGCGGCTTACAATCCCTTTCCCTCCCCTTCCCCACAACAGACACCCTGTGAGGTAGGTGGGGCTGAGAGAGCCCTTTCGAGGACTGCTCCTGAGAGAACAGCTCTGAGAGAACTTGTGACTGACCCAAGGTCACGCTAGCAGCTGCATGTGGAGGAGTGGGGAATCAAACCCGGTTCTCCCAGATTAGAGTCCGCACGCTCTGAACGGCTACACC